CATAAAGTTAGGGCCAGTTTAGTTTAGATTTCAATTACATTGGTAAAACCATATTTCTAGGTGTTTTCTGTCACTTGAGATTATTGATTTTTTTCTTTTTAATATTGAGAAATGGTGAAAGCACAAATTCAATACAGAATTAAAGAATAGATGACAAATTAGCTAGAAAATGCATATATTTCACACATTCTTTTGAAGACAAGAGTAAGAAGCTCTGAATTATTTACCTTTTATTTCTTTTATTTACTTACCTCATGCGCATAAACATTTTCCATTCTCTTAATATATATAAAGAGCATTTGTGTAAATATTGCAACACTTTTTAAAACTTCTCTTGCAATTAACCTATCGACTCGTTTGGAATTTTCTTTCAAATCACAATTTCCACCAATATAACTTTAGGTTGATCTTGTGAACACTGTTGTTTTATTTTCTGTCTAAGATTGCTAGAGTTCCAGCTTAGATCAGTGTTTTGCTAGCATTCTTCCCATGGGCTTTCAAGCCAGGCTGAGATTTTGCAGTGGCCTGATGCCAGCCACACGTCTGACCCCACCTGTTTCCTTGTTGCTGTCCACTTGCATATCCTGCAGAATCCAATTCGATTACATCGGATGTTAAATACTTTCAGCTATGTCCAGCAATTTCCATCTCTTTTTGAACTGAGGGCTTGCCATTTAGCCATGTGTAGTGCTCATTTGGTTGGGTTGTAATAGTTTTGCCCTCCTGGATAGACCGTGAGCTATCCGCGGAGAAGGATTTTTCACTTTGCTTCCCCAGCACAGACAGTGCAGGCCACAGACCAGACACACAGACATAGGCTACTGTGCCTATCCCAGTGTCACTGTTCCATTCCCTCATGTGGACTCACATAGGCCACACTCATTCTTTGTTACTGGTATTAGCTGCCGCTTTATTCCTCTTAAATATTTTTATCAGTTGAATATTATAAAGAATAAAAGTGCATGTTTTACATTTATAAATAATGTTTCAGGGTAATAATTATTTTTATCCAGGCTCTCCTTCAGTTGTCCCTCAAACACATGTTCTGTGAGATCTAAATCAGCTAATTTAAATTTTAGGCCCTTACTCCAAATTACATCTGATCTGTAAATTCCTAAATATAAAATACTGTACAGATTTGATCCTGATTCTACATAACCGCTGACAAAAGTCTAAAATTCTTTGCCCGAGCACGTTGCTAGAATTTAGAATACCCAGGCATGAAGACTTACCAGTGTTGAACCTGCCTGATGGAGCTATCTAGGTGTAAGTTTTTTGTATCACACAGAATGTTGATGGTGGAATTTAGATCCTCAGAAAGATCATACCCTGGCAATATAAACATCTCACAAGGCCTACTTACTATCTTCAAAAGACCAGAAATGGGTTACTATCACAAACATTATTTTGTATTTATTTTGGCCAAAAATGCAGCATTAGTATAGATACCATCAAAAACAATAATTCATTCTTATTGTGATATCAGAATCTCATTTGCCAAATAGGCTGATGTTTTCTAGCGATCAGCGGTAGGTGCAGGGTTGCCTTTGTGATTGGCAGCTGTTGTTTCCTCTCTCTCCCCCCTACAACATTAATCTAAACTAAATTCATTCTTAAAGAGAATAAAACCACCAGTTGTTAACAGTGGAATAATGGCACTTGGGATCTTGAGAGAATATGAAATGCCTTGAAACTTACTGACTATAGCAAGATAAGATTGTTATTTAATACCAGTTTTTAGGAACCCTTTTCCCCATATTACTTGACCCTGCCCACCCATTCTATCCTCCCCCTGCACCCTGGAGGTCCAGTGAAGCTAAAGGGGAAAATGACTTTCTCTTTCCACACACCCTTGACTCCACTTGCTCCCATGCTTCTGGGAGGAAGTACTGGTGTGGGTCTAGCCTGTCAGTTTGCCCTCACAGATACATTGAAAACCTGGTCTGAAATAGAGACAGTGCTATTCACGATCCAGACACAGTTCACAAAGCTTACCTTTAAATGGGATGGCCTACTCTTTTGTGGACTGTGCACTGCAGGAGGCAAGAGAATGGGGATATCCCCTTAGGAAGATGTATCAGAATCTCAGCAAAGCAGACCTTTCAAGCTGCTTGTGTGTCCCCAGTGCACATTCTGATAGACCCCCTCCAGGTGTTGTACTGGCCCGAGCATAGAAAGTCAACACCAAGACAAAAGTATTTCAAATTGCAGGGTCTTTATTGCCGGCGGCCACGGGGGACTCAAGTCTCTCCAACCCGTGGCCCCGAAAGGAGGGTGTCAAGACCTTTTATACCCATAAAACCACCTCGGGAGTGAGGGTGAGGGCCTTCAGACATTCTGAGGGCTAGTGGATTCTGTAAATCACCTCCTAGGTAGAGATGAGGGTGAGGGGCTCCAGACATTCCGAGGGCCAGGGGACTTTGGACATTCTGATTGTTACTTAAGTGGTTCACAAAAGTCAAGATTAGCATTTGTTTACACATTGTCTGGGTAGGGTGGAAATTACAGTCCTTAATTACTTATTACAAGTCGCAGGGTCCAAGATGGCGTGGGTTTGGACTGCTTGCCTGTCACATTTGGGTTACAGAGAGCAGTTTCAATAGAAAGCCGAGGTATGGTTGAGGTATGCAGTTTTATGGGACTTTTACCATGTCACACAGGGATGCTGTCTTATGTTTACCACTGCATTTTGAGAATCACTGCTACTACTGAATGATGGGAGAATGTGACCCCCGATGGGAGAATGCGACCCTGTGAATAGTTAGGCAACGGAAAGGCTGAAGATTACTCAGTCTGTGGAATGTCAGCACATTGCTCCTGCACATGGACTGCCGCAACACTGAAGACAATAAAGAAATAGGAATCTAGTAGGACCACATAAATTATGACGTCTTTTATATGGGCCTTGAGATTTAGTATTCATGAAATATAGGGATCCTTAGGTCTGAGGCACACTGGGGCCTCTATGACAAGGACTGTTAAAAGTGGTACACACCTTCTCCTCATTCAAGAAGACTCCACAGAGTGTGGTATGGATGGTGGTCCTCAAGGAATACCCAGCATAGCTCCTGTAGCAGGATGGCCTCTGAAAGTTAGATGAAGCAGCAGGTAGCAGTGCGAATCCTATTCCTGTACTGGTGGGTAGAAAAGTGAGCAGAACCTGAAGAGAAATTGATACCCTTACAGAGCAAACTGCCAAAAAAACTAAAAAGTGCGCTCCAGTGCCTATTTATTTTACTGTGAGTCTATTTGGCAATGAAAAATATTTCAGGAAGAGGGGGTGGAGCGGTCACATGCAATAATTGGCCAAGCCAATCCTGTGGCTGGAGACCCTGAGGTGTTTGCTGCCTCAGAAGGGACTGGCTGAGAATTTGGGATGAGACCAAACCTGCAGACAGAGCAAGCATGCAGGACCCAGCGGTGAGAAGCCTGGGAAGGTAGCAAATCCAGAAACCAAGCAAGGACTGACAAATCTGCCAATATTGAGTTTTGAAGGCCACTAGACAAGTCATATCTCTATAGGCAGTCACAATTTTTTTTGATGTAAGGAGGTGAATCAGGAATATATTAGAGAGTTGATAAAGCAGATACAGTCTGCTTAAGATAAGCTCTGCAAAGGAATTACTACGTATGGAACTCAAGGAGGAGCTAATAAATGCAGATGTGCTAGTATTAAGATGCACTTTTAAACTACTTTGTTATTTGTAAAGAGTGTTTCACATATCATTCCATTTACTTTGGCTCAGTCCATTATAAAGAAGACAGGTAAATTGAAGCAACTTGCTTGGAGCCATACTTCTAAGTGGCTGAGTTTGAGCTTGAACTGCACAGGTCGTTTTCCCCTTCCACTGATAACATGGTCTGTGGAAGCTTTTTATCATGGGAATGGCCAAGATTGGGAGGACCCACATAATTCCTAATTATTTTCTAGGTTCTGAGCCATAAACTAGGCTTTGCAGATTTTCAACATACTGCATAAAATATTTTTGGCAAAAAAAATTATTAAGGTTCTGAAAGCAGGTTAATTCTGAGTGGTAAATTGATTTCCTGTTTTGTATTTCTACATTTAATTACAATGATAACATGCAGTGTAAACAAGGATATAATTTATTCAGGAACAAACAATTGTCACGTTGTTTTGTGTTGTTTTCTAGCAAGTTGTTGATATGTATCTGTTATGCTTTGAACTTTTTTGGTGTTCTTAGAATAACTAGTTCACACATATATCGATAAGTGTGCATCTTTTTCTTCTGTGAGCTTTTTCACAAAACATTCTCATTCTATGATGGAATGTCTTCCAGGGCCTTCCTGTCTTCATGAGCCTGAAATCTGCCTTGCATGTTTCCATCCAGGAACACACACTATGCACCTCTTTGCTATATCAAAAGGCAGCCACTGAAATTCCCCAAGTGCCTGGTAGGGTGCGCCTTCCCTCTTAGATGGAGAAGCACTTTGAACAAGCCAGGGACCAAATCTTTCTGGCCACTTTAAGTGGGAATGTAAGCACAAGCGGAATAGTAAAAAAGTCCAGGCAGACATTGCACATTGTCCCATGGGGGCAGCCATAGCAGGTTAGGACTCCTTGTTACTTCAAATGTGTGCAAATATATCTCTGATTATGCTACTGAATTCTGAACAACAGACCCTCCTTTATTCTAGTTTGGTGAATCTCTTGAGTAGAAACTAATTATGCCATAGGATATAGCAGTTTCATAATCTAGAAAAAAATGCCTGTCGGGGACTATCATGAAACCTCTAAACTCATTTTCTGAGCAGCCTGAAAGGGGATCCAAGCCACAGGTTCTAGAGGTGAAAAGTTAATGTTCTGGCTTCTGCTTCCAGCAGTTTCTCCCATTTAGGGGCAACAGGGATGTACTCTCTTTTGTAGCCGCATCTGATTCCACTAGAGATTTTTAAAAATCATTACCATAAAAATACTTCTGTGTCACTCTGTCCTTGAAATAGCACTGCCATTTAATTCACATTTATGTTTATTGCAGAGAAAGCAGCAGCTGCCAACATAGATGAAGTGCAGAAGTCAGATGTATCCTCTACAGGGCAGGGTGTCATCGACAAGGATGCGCTGGGGCCTATGATGCTTGAGGTAGCACATCTTCATTTTAGTGCTGTATTTTACAGTTGTGTTGATCCTCACATTATTACGTTTAATTTCAGGTGAATGTAAGGAGAATCCACACTAGTACTAGTACTATGGACCTCTCGAGCTTACTAATTTTGTATGTTTTGGCTCCTGCTGCCAGTATATGTGTGTTTGAAATTAAATAAGCTTTATACTTTCTATTATACTATTTCAAACTAGTTTATCTCATAAGGAAGAAAACTGAAATAATAGGCAAAAGGAACTTTTAAGAGAAGCATAACGTTGGTCTTATCTACCTGTTCTTTATTAACTTTAGGAAGCTTTATGACCAGCCAATGTTTAGAATTTGTAAAGTACAGGTTTTCTATTTTATTAACTAGTACTAAACGCCAAGTGCTTTGCTGTACTTGTTCCAAAATTAAAATTCAAGATGTAGGCTATGGTAAGATGAGGAAAAAAAATGTCAATGAATATATAACGAGAAAGAGAGGAACTCTGAGACATAAATTATGTCAGTTCTCAGGATAATTTCCTTGGCTGATGATACAATGAGGTTGAAAAGACTACATGGCCGGAAGCTTTGCAGCACTGCCATTGTAGAAGCAGCTAGCTTGCTGCAGCAGACAATAATTTGGATTTTTAAAGCAAAGATAACCAATAGTCCCCCTTGTCTCCTCTTTTTTTCAGTTGATGCATGAAGGGATTTTTATTTTCAGAAAATCTAATTCTATGAAAATCTACCATAAAACTGGGGGTGGGGGGTGGGGTGGAGGGGACACACAATAAAGACTTAAAGATTATCTCACCCAATCTTTGTATTTAGAAATGACAAACTTCATTTCCTAGGGCTGGACCTGCTGGCCAGCCAAAAGGCTTTAAATGGCCCAGTATTGGCCCTTCCTTATCTCCTCTTGAATCACTGGCTTGAAAACATTCAACCTCACCTTCCAGGAGAAAAGCAAAAACACACTTAACCCGATTTTCCATAGTCAGCAAGGCAGTGGAAGGCCAGGGAGTGCTACTTCCCTCTCAGTTCTTAGAATAAGATTATGAAAACTATAGCTAGGTGGACCATTTAGAATTAAATGAAAGAAAGTGGATAATTTCCTTTGGAAAAATGTTTGAATTATAAATTAGAAACTGATTTGAAAATTATGTACACTAAATTATTACAGTTGGGAAATTTCCCTATACCGGTGTTTATTCGTTGTTTCTTGGGGTGGGGGAGAACATTAGAGTGGAGACTCCTGGGAAGACTTTTGAGACTTCTAAATAGAAACGCTGGAGTAACCACAAAGCTAGGACTCAGGCCCTTTGAGACCGAGTTAATATTATTAATTGTAGAAATCAGATTGATAGTAGACCTGATGTCATAAAATCAAACCAATATTTTTGTCGTTGAAAATAGTCTTCTGAGAATTTAGTGCATTGAGCAAGAACCTGTGTAGCAGAACTTGAGTGTTAAATGCGTTAGAGGGGTTAATTCTTAAAACTAGTGACTTACAGTGTGAACTTAAATCTTTATCCCTGTCTACGTGTAATCATTTAAACAGAGAGAACATGTTCTCATGGAGCTGTTCCTAGGCTTAGATGCACACTCATGCTTACATCACAGCATAGTGGTTGCTAGGCAACAAAACCAAATGTCAGCTTTTTTCATCAGAGCATATCATAGTGAGCCTTAAAAAAAATACAAATTTTGAGATGAAACAATTTCATCTTTTGGTTTTATTATGCCTCAAGTCAGTCTTTTTAGTGTGGTATAAGCAGTAGGAAGCAACATGTACTTTTAAAAAATGAACCATAGGTAATATAATTATGAAAATCCCTATCAAAGGTGTATTCATAGCAGTGAGTTGAAAAGGGACACTGGGCACATAACTTATCACCTAACTTCCTGGGTGCACACACTTGCACATAGTTCTCAAGGTTAGTACCATGTATTATGAAAGGCTACTGATTTACATATAGTCTTGCTTTGTCCTGCATGTGGTTCATACCATTGAGAAAACCTGATAGAATGTTTTAAGAAAGGCTTAAAAACCAAATGGTGTCATATTAAAGGGAGAAAGAGTGAACTTTTCTCTGGTGCCTTACGGTCAGTTCTAATTTGAGAGAGCACTTAGTTTTGTAATTAAAATTGAATTAAAGATTAAATATTTTCAAAGACAGCTCATAAAATAAGAGCCTGTTTAATAATAAGGAAAAAACAAACTAGGGAAAAAGTAAACACTTTAGGCTCCATCCACCAAATTCATTGTTATAGGTGTATATACATGTGATGTTCCTGTTAAAAATAGTAATAAACATGCTGGCATAGTGGCTCATGCCTGTAATCCTAGCGCTTTGGGATTACAGAGTGGTGGGAGGATTACTTGAGGCCAAGAGTTTGAGACCAGCCTAGACGACATGGTGAGTCCCTAACTCTACAAAAAATTTAGAAGAACTGGTACAGTGGCTCATGCCTATAATTTTACCCTTTTGTGAGGCTGAGACAGGAAGATCACTTGAACCCAGGAGTTCAAGACCAGCTTGGGCAACATACGGAGACCCCATCATTAACAAAAATTTAAAAATTAGGCGTGGTGGTACATGCCTGTGGTCCCAGCTACTTGGGAGGCTGAGGTGAGAGGATCTCGGGCCCAGGACGTGAAGGCTGCAGTGAGCTGTGATCATGCCACTGCACCCCAGCCTAGGCAACAGAGTGAGACCCTGTGTCAAAAATAAAAAATGCTTAGGTGTGGTGGCGCATATCTGTGATCCTAGCTACCAAGGAGGCTGAGGTGGGAGGATAGCTTGAGCGCAGGAGTTCAAGGCTACAGTGAGTTATGATTGTGCCTCTGCACTTCAGGCTGGGCGCAGAGCAAGACCTTGTCTCCAAAAAAAAAAAAAAAAATTGTAATAAACACATATCATAAAGAAACTGAGTGGCCTAAACTGACTAGACCATGTGGCCCTGGTTCCGGGTATGATGAATCAATCTAAAGCTTTCAGTCCTGATCAGTCACCTGATCCATAAAACAGAGCTTTTGTAAGCAAGGATCAAAACGAGAAAAATGGGCTAATATAACCAGGAGAAACTCACTGAACCCCCAGCATTTCCATCACTAAGGTAAACATGATGGGAAATGGATTGGGGTGAATATTGGAGTAGAGGACTGTACTGAATGGTCATCAAAGCATGAGCTTTGGAATCAGATCCTTCTGGACTCAATTCAAGCTCTACTACCACTGACTACTTCTGAAATATTAACCTCTCTGAGCCTCAGTTTCCTCCTCTATAAATTGGGAAAGATAAAACATTCCTTCCAGAAAGTATGTGTAAGGCACAGTGAATATGCTCCATAGCCTCTATTATTTTCTTCACCTCCTGAAATGATCCTAGATTCTTTATCTCCTTCCCTCACCTCCATTGGGATGACAACAAAGAGTGAGGCTGTGAACTCATTGCCGGAAGCAAGCTGCTGTCATTTAAGTAATTTAGGAACCTGCTCTTAATCTGGAGAACAAGTAACATAGAATAATTCGGCATAATTAGTGCCCTTCTAAGGTCAGGGCAATGCTGAGGTCTCCATGAACATGAATTTGCCACTTCAGAGACACTTCCCAGACCCTTTCCCATATACACGAAATAATTAAAGGATTGATGTTTCTTTAAAGGCCTGACATTATCTGTGATACTTTTCATATAATCCCTGACAGCTAGGGTGGTAAAATTTGGGAAGTTTTCCCTGGTAATTATCCTTAAACTAGGGAAAAATTTTTAATGACCCCTTTCCCTCGTTGTATAACATGAGAAATTATAGATCAGAATTACCATGCATTAGGTTGGCGACATAAAAGTTGTTCTAGGCCTGGTGGAGTACATCAATCTCATTTCGAAAATACAGATGAATGCCTGCATACTTTTACTTGATGATAATTATCTCCTGACAAATTAAGGAAGTTACTGTTGGTCATTTAGTTTGTGACAAGAAACCCTAATATAGGCTCCCTCTCTCACTTACTGAGATGTAATAATTTCTGTTTCACCAAGAGAAAATGTGTTGTTTCTGAAAACTGGGAGAGAGCTGAGAAAGATCTCTTTTCTATCCATGTGTGAATGGTGTTTCCCTTAAAGGAATCATTGCCTTCTTAACAATGGCATGTGATTTTACTTTGCATCCTTTCTAACACAATTTGTACTTTTTCTCCTAGGCCCTTGATGGGTTCTTCTTTGTAGTGAACCTGGAAGGCAATGTTGTGTTTGTGTCAGAGAATGTGACACAGTATCTAAGGTATAACCAAGAAGAGCTGATGAACAAAAGTGTATATAGCATCTTGCATGTTGGGGACCACACGGAATTTGTCAAAAACCTGCTGCCAAAGTCTATAGGTAAATGACTGTCTTCTGGGTCTCCCTCCCTACCTCCCCTCACCCCCACCTGCCCCTGCCTCGTAAACACACACACACATTGTCTTGGCTGAAGTGGATCAAATAAAACTATATTATATCAGATGGGAATGAGAGTGACTGGGTAGTTTTTTAGAGATGCATGTGTGTTTAAGCTTGGAAATGTGTTTCCAAGCATGGAAAAGGGGACATCTTCAGATACTGATCTCAAATGAATGATCATTTTGATCCTATATTTAAAATATAGGAAAATCACTGCTTCTTAGCCAAAAGGCCAAGAAGTTACTATGATTATCGGTGTGGCAGTAATTATCTCATGATAAATTAACAGAAATTGATTCAGATTCATGAAAACGATACAGATTGAAAGTACTTAAATGGCAACTATTTTCGTTGAAATTGTTGTGGTTTTCTAAAATTATTTTTAATTTTTGTGGATACATAGTTGTATATGTTTATGGGGTATATGAGGTGTTTGGATACAGGCATGCAGTGTGAAATAATCACATCATGGAGATGGGGCATCCATCCCCTCGAGCATCTGTCCTTTGTGTTATAATGTAGAGATTGTGTTTTAAGGTGACCCATTGCCTCACCCTGCTGCATCCTAGCCAACTTCGTTTTGTCCATTTTCTCCGTGACCATCTGAAAAGTCAAAGGTCATGAGAAGTTTGAGATTCAACTTATTTTGAGTCCGGCACATGAAGTGTATTCTATGTGTATATACATTCTAAAAATAAGATGTTAAGGAACAAGTGGCAGATGGAGAGGTTTAGATGCTACAGCCCAAGCCCTGAATGGGCTCCTCCGTCTCACAGACTCTCCAGTGGCCCTGTAGGTGTCATCACCAGATGCCGCTGCCTTAGCCCACTCTCCCTGTCTCGAATTTCCTGACTTCATCTTATTTTGGAGATGCCGTCTGAAAGTGTACGTGATGATTAAGGACACACTGTGCAGTGGGTGATTCACAGCGTGGGCCCACCTTAGCTGCTGCTCTGGAGTACTGCTGTACCCACTCACTAAGTGGTTCTTTTTTTAATATTCTCACTCAAACTGATGATGCTAAAAACATCTTCACAGATTGAAAGAAGTGCAGTATAAGGTCAAATCCTGAGTTGGCAAGTATTTCTGTTCTTAAGATTGTTTATACTAACTGGTCTTATTGTTATAAGTAGGAAAAGGTACTTTTCAAATTTCATTCGGTCTAGCTTTTCCTTTATATAATTCTTTGTTCAAAGTGACTGCAACAGTAATACAAAATGTATGGATACTTGTGTAGGATTTCTTTATTATATTATTATTTCAAGTTAACTAATATTTTCAGATCTCTTTAGTAATTTTATGACTTCCTCAGAAGACGTATACTTACACTATTATTAATTCGCTTGTCTAAAGAGCTCTTTGCAAAAGTAGAAAACTATATTTTTAACAAATAATCCAGGACTGGACTTGAAGGGAAGGAGTCAGGGTGAAGAAGTATGTACAAAATGTTATAAAAATCCCAAGATTCCACATGTAACCCAGATCTCAAAGTAAAATTTTCAAAAAAGTAGGGGTGGGGGGAGAAAATTCCAGGATTTTTCCCAAGTTGTAAAATGTTAAAGATTTTTTGTCCTCTAGATTATGGAAGTATTTAGAAAAGTATAAAAATACTATGTAGGCTGGGCGTGGTGGCTCATGCCTATAATCCCAGGACTTTGGGAGGCCAAGGTGGGCAGATCTCACAAGGTCAGGAGTTCAAGACCAGCCTGGCCAACATGGTGAAATCCCGTCTCTACTAAAAATACAAAAATTAGCCAGGCGTGGTGGCACGCACCTATAGTTCCAGCTACTCGGGAGGCTGAGGCAGGGAGGTGAAGGTTGCAGTGAGCTGTGATCACGACACTGCACTCCAGCCTGGGCGACAGAGCAAGACTCCACCTCAAAAAATAATAATAATAAAAAATAAAAGTACTATATAGAAATGAAATAATCATTTTTTCTGCATCATTTTGATAATTCAGAGGCAATGTATCTGATGTTTGTTTCTTTGTAAAATTGGATTACTTTTGCCTTGCTCAGTGAATGGGGGATCTTGGTCTGGTGAACCTCCGAGGCGGAACAGCCATACCTTCAATTGTCGGATGCTGGTAAAACCTTTACCTGATTCAGAAGAGGAGGGTCATGATAACCAGGAAGCTCATCAGAAATATGAAACTATGCAGTGCTTCGCTGTCTCTCAACCAAAGTCCATCAAAGAAGAAGGAGAAGGTGGGACAGAATCCCTAGGGTGTTTTATGTGTCTGTGTATTTATCCCTGTGCTACTTCCTTCACACTTTAATTAGTGGTCACCCAAAGAAAAGTGAGGAGGCAGTATCTTTGTTCTTTTCAATTTTACTATTTTGTGATGGAAATTTTTAAGTCTTCAGAACAGTGCTGTCCAACATAATTGTCTGCAGTGGTGGTAGTGACATATCTTCAGCATCAGGTGTGGCAGCAGCCACTGGCCACATGTGGCTGGCGAACACTTGAAATGTCAATAATGCAGCTAGAGGGCGGAATTTTTAATTCGATTAAATTTGCATTTGAATAGCCACAGGAGAATTGTGGCTACTCTACTAGCATGACTGTATTAGTGATCACACTTTTGGGAGATCCTAGGCTTTTTGAACATCTTGTGCGAGCTGTATGCCACAGCCCTAGAAAAATGCACACAGCTGGCCAGGCATGGTGGCTCATGCCTGTAATCCCAGCACTGTAGTATGAAAAAGGAGTAGCTGAGCTAATATATTACTTTGTGCTTTATATTTAAATATTTTTTATACATTTAAAAGTAGGTTCTGGATGTTAACACAGTATAGCATAAGCACAGGGTTCCTGAGCCATGGCATGCTCAGATTCTAATCCTGGCCTTGCCAGAGTTTTGTGTGACATTGGACAAGTTACTTAAACATTGTGCTTTGATCTTCTTGTCTGTAAAATGGAAATAATGCTACTACATGTATCGTAGAGCTGTTAAGAGAATTAAATGAGTTAATAACTCATACAGTAGCTAGAAAGATATTTATCTCATAGTGCCCAAATATTTAGTTGTCATTTTGTTGAGGACTATAATTACATTGTAATTTTGTGAGACCAACTATTACTGGATATTTCAGTCTTGTTGAAGAAATAATACATGAAACGATTTTAAAAGACTACAACAGAGCTATTCAGGAACAGCCAAGTTACAAAGTGTATACTAAAATTTCTGTAAAAGTTGAGAAAAGAGGTTGGACGTGGTGGCTCACACTGTAATCCCAGCACTTTGGAAAACTGAGGCAGGTGGATCATGAGATCAGGAGTTCAAGACCAGTTTGGCCAACATGGTGAAACACCATCTCTACTAAAAATACAAAAATTAGCCGGGCGTGGTGGCAGGCACCTGTAATCCCAGCTACTCTGGAGGCTGAGGCAGAGAATTGCTTGAGCCCAGGAGGCAGAGGTTGCAGTGAGCTGAGATCATGCCATTCCATTCCAGCCTGGGTGACAGAGCCAGACTCTGTCTCCAAAAAAAAAAAAAAAAAAGTTGAGAAAAGAAAAGTCTGTCCAAGAAGGCAGTGTGGGGTCGTAGAGTGGTTAGTGAAGTATTGATTGTAGAGGACCTCAGCTTTAGAGCATGAGCACCTATGGAGGGAGAAATTGAGGCAGCCTGATATTTCAGATAGCGTAGTAGCAGGAACAAAGATAAATTCTTTATTAAATTCAAGAAATTATCAAATTTAGAGGTGAACAATCATAAATCAGTGACCTAAGAAGACATGAAGGGATTACTTTTTTTAGCAACCAACATTTGTCCAGTGTTTTTTAAATTGAAAGGGCTGTGCAGTGTACCCTGCATGTTACAAAGATAAATAAAACTTTTCCCTTTCCTCCAGAAATGAACCCTGATGCATAAAACAATTGAAACAAAGTGAGGAATAAGTGCTTAGAATTGGCTGTGTGAGAAACTGTCCACAGCCAAGATTCTGAACTATAATGCAGCTGTTTTGGTGCATGCTGCATTTTCTAGGTATTGTGGGAGTCGTTCTCTGAATCTCCATCGAGACCCAGTTCATATTCTTTGCTTTAAATTGCATATTGTAATTGTAGTATTTACATAGTTTAGCATAAGGTATACATAGTGTTCCTGAACTCTAAAACTTAAGAAGCAAACCCTTGACAAAGCAAGAGTATCAGATTTTAGTTTTCTTCATTTTTGTACTTCATTACAAATTAAGCTTGTTTTCTATCAGTCATTTAAAAACAAAGGATTTTTTTTTTCTACCACTGGAGAGAGGGTTTCAGATTATTAACACTCTAGTGTCGTGGGTGTATTTCCATCACATGTATCATGGGGCCTGAGCAGTTTCTCCTCTGCTCCCCAACTCTCCTTAGCCACCTTTCCTCTCCCTTACCCACCTACCACTTTCATGGAGAGAATAAAACCAGTAAGAAGCTCAGGTACATAGTGTTTCATCACTGTCTCCCTTACTACTTTTTTTATGACAGTTTATGCTGTCATAAATACACTTAGGTTTGTTTGAATCACTAGAAAAGCCCGATATGATAAATTTAAATGTGTGTGATTTAAGATTTGCAGTCCTGCTTGATTTGCGTGGCAAGAAGAGTTCCCATGAAGGAAAGACCAGTTCTTCCCTCATCAGAAAGTTTTACTACTCGCCAGGATCTCCAAGGTAAATTTACTTTCCAAAGAAAACCAAAGGAATCATTTTAGAATACTTACATTATTTGGAAATGCAAGGAGTGTGTTTAGAAGACTGTAAAGATGCCAGTGCTAGTGATTGCTGCTGCAGAAATGTCCAGGAGTTGGAGAAAGAGAGAGACTGGCTCTCACTGTATATACCCTTTTGGCTCATGTACTTGTGTTACCTAGTTTAAATACATACATTTAGATCTTGTTAAAATTTAATTGTTTCTGGCCGGGCATGGTGGCTCACGCCTGTAATCCCAGCACTTTGGGAGGCTGAGGCAGGAGGATCACTTGAGGTCAGAAGTTCAAAGCCAGCCTGGCCAACGTGGCGAAACCTCATCTCTACTAAAAATACAAAAATTAGCCAAGTGTGGTGGTGCACACCTGTAATCCCAGCTACCTGTGTGTCTGACACACAAGAATCATTTGAACCCAGGAGGTGGAGGTTGCGGTGAGCTGAGATCGCACCACTGCACTGCAGCCTGGATGCACTGTGTCTCAAACAAAAAATTACTTCCATAAAGAATAGCTCAACATGTAGGTATAACGTCTGCTGTTACTTAATAGGCAAGATCACTTCTCTGGATACCAGCACCATGAGAGCAGCCATGAAGCCAGGCTGGGAGGACCTGGTGAGAAGGTGCATTCAGAAGTTCCACGCGCAGCATGAAGGAGAATCTGTGTCCTATGCTAAGAGGCATCATCATGAAGGTAAGCATCTCTAAGTGATTTTTCTTAAATTATTGCTCCCTATGGGAGCTTTCTCTCGGTGATTCCTGGAGTTCATCTTGGGAACAGATATAGTGACTGTGTTCTCATGAGCTGTGTCATCTCCACCTGAAGGCAAATTTAACAGGAGGACCTATAGGACAGAAGAGTGTGACAAAAGTAGAATAGGAGATGATAGTGTCACAGAGGCAGACAAAAGAAAGAGGTCATTTTCTTTGATCCAGGGGTTTCTAGATGTATGAAAAGATTGTAAGTACCATCTAATTAAAAGAAATATTAATGATTCAAGTAGAATCTGAAAATAAGAATAAGTGGAATTTTCGAGAGTGAGTGAATCCCTGGTGGAGGTAACAGTGGGACCCCAAGCCCTTCTTCAAGGTGGTAATCAACAAAGACTATCCAGGTGTTTCTAGAGGGTCCAGAAGGTGATGCAACTTGTCTCGGATCACAGACTTAAGCAATAGGATAGCTGGAACTGAGCCCAAGACTTCAGCCTTCTTTCAGTATGACAGCAGCCCTTACTGAGTACCCAGTCTTTGTGTGGCATTGTCCCTTTTGCTTCCTCTCACTGGCCCTCACAGCAAGCTCGTGATATGGACATCACGTCTCTCACTCTGGACGAGAGGGTGAGGAGGTTGAGGCAGGTGAAGTGACTGACTCAGTGGCATTCAGTGTCAGTGCAGGACGTCTGTCTGAGCCCATTTTGGTCACTCTGTCATGCTGCTCCCAAAGGTCTTTCCATGGAATCACTTTTTCTCAAGTGCATTTTTGTTTCTGTTAAAGAGGTAGGAATCCCCCCCCCACCCTCCCCCGCCACACACACACACAACAAGGACTCCTTCTGCTTCAGTATGTGCTAATTTGGGAAGGGAGACTCTGTCCTTCTCCTTGTGTCCCAGCAGTGCAGTTGGCCAGGGCTCCGCATGCATTGTCAGCTGGGCCACTCTGCACATGAGGGGCTCGTGCAGTGCAGTGCAGCTTGTAACTCAGCTTCAACAGTTGTCTGCATCTTTGCAGAAAAAATTTGTAACTAATTATTGAAAATGGAGTTTGAATTTGTCATCATCCGCTTAATGTGCATCTGTGACCCTGGCACTTTGCCAATAATGTTGGTTATGTTTAAATTTTATGCTTTTTAGATCACATATGAAAAAGCAAAAACCATAATAAATGACCTGTCTCTTCCATGCCCTTATTTTTTCCTCATCTTATTCATTCTTTTCATCCTATTCATCCTTTATTTTAGAAATAAGTACATAATCCAACAACTTGTGTCTTCCAGCATTTTTCTTTAAGCTGGAAAGAATATGAGGAAATAAAGATGCTACATTGACAGAAATCAATATTTAACCTACCATTTCACTATATCTGTTTTAAAATAGAAAGAATAGTAATAACAAAAAACCAAGAAACTGACATAAGCAAACATATTCAGTGTCCTTGGGTCCTGAGTTTAATTCTTTGGCAACCTGATTCCTTACAAAAGGATTTATACAGATGGACCAGGCACTGCGCTAGATTTAAACAGATGGGACCCACTAGAAGGAAACCCCATATAGACATTCCTAACTTTTGAAGTTTTGAAAAGATCAGGGATGATCAGTTACGTTGAATGGAAATCTACTGCAAAGTGTTGTTTAAATGGAGGCGCTTCCTAAATGTGTTCACATGGGTGTTTACACATACCTACTTTTCAGAGATGTTGGATGTAGACCAAGTGGAAATGAAAATCTTTAGGGATCACAGCCAAGGTCAGGTAAAATTCTGAAATTATAAGCCATTGGAAATATGTCTTACTATAATAAAATTACATTTACGTCATCTTTTAGAAACATACCTATTATACGAAGCAAGATACTCATATGTCCAGTAATTCATTTTCAGTACTGCCTCTTCACACTAACATTATGCAACAATTGATGGCAGCAAGTGAACCTAAATATAGTATCTAACTGTAACTGCAGAGAGAAGTCATTAGACAAATTGCTTAAAGTGAAAATTTTACCAAGAAATCAGAATCCACATTATATGTTAGCCTGTCTCACTTGTGGCAGTTTTGTGGCATGGTGAATACGCGTGGTTGCTTTGGGGGTAACTATTCAACCCACAAAATTTGTGCTGAGGATTATGTGGTAGCAACATAGTGGCCTTCTTAAAATGGTTTAACAGGAACTAAATTATATGTCTTTTCTTTTTAACTGAATTGAAATGTTCTTTTTTAATATCTAGTATAAGACAGTTATAAAACAGTAGCTTTAAAAGACAAATCTCAATTATTTTAAGAGAAATTATATTAACCTAGTTGATTTGTGTTATATTTTGTTATTGTCTTGAAAATAGAAGCATCTGACCCCTTATCTAAAAGTTAAACCAATTCCAGTGTTGCTAAGATTTGCACTTTTATTGTTTCAGCTTTGTTTAGCCTTTTCTTCTCTGAATAGGTCCTTCTTTGTTTATTCTTGATTATCCTTGATTGTTTATGTTTTACTTCCTGTTGTCCTAACCATGAAAATAATACTCCTTACACAGTGAAAAACAGGTCTGGGGAAAAGTAGTGTGTGAGATGATGGGCTGAACAGTACGTAACTTCGAGATGAATATTCATTGAGTATATTTAATGTCATAAATTTTATTTTAATAGTTGTCTCAGTTTTACAAGGAAATTAAAGTCAAATTGCATACGTAAGAGATAACATGTTTATACATTATATTGTTTTCTACCATTTTTAAGCAAATTGTTGAAAAGCCTGTTTGAGCTGACAGATGGTTTGCACTGTTTTGCCATGATAATAAAGATATTAAAGGGCCAAGCAGGGTGGCTCACGCTGGGAGGCCGAGGTGGGTGGATCACGAGGTCAAGATATCAAGACTATCCTGGTCAACATGCTGAAACCCCGTCTCTACTAAAAATACAAAAAAAATAGCTGGGCGTGGTGGCACATGCCTGTAGTCCCAGCTACTCCGGAGGCTGAGGCAGGAGAATTGCTTGAACCCAGGAGGCAGAGGTTGTGGTAAGCCGAGATCGGGCCATTGCACTCCAGCCTGGGTAACAAGAGCAAAACTCTGTCTCAAAAAAAAAAAAAAAAAAATTTCAAGAACATAGTTTGAGGGTTCAGGCTCTTAGTTTTCTTCATAAGAAAAACAGATAATTGAGGTCATTGATATTTTGAGTGAAAAGTAAATGTGCTTTTAAAAATCTTATTTTTTATTTTTATTTTTTTGAGACAGAGTCTCACTCTGTCGCCAGGCGCCAAGCTGGAGTGCAGTGGCACAATCTCGGCTCACTGCAACTTCTGCCTCCCGGGTTCAAGCAATTCTTCTGCCTCAACCTCCCGAGTAGCTGGGACTGCAGGCGCATGCCACCACGTCCAGCTAATTTTTGTATTTTTGGTAGAGACGGGCTTTCACCATGTTGGCCAGGATGGTCTTGACCTCTTGACCTCGTGATCTGCCTGCCTCGGCCTCCCAAAGTGCTGGGATTACAGGCTTGAGCCACCGTGCCCGGCTAAAATCTTATGTTTTAATATCATTAAAGTATTACTTACAACTCTTTAACATGCTGGTGGGAAACTATTATGAAACTTAATGAATTAATGAAGTTGATTATTATGCCTTGTCCTCCCCAACTCCTCAGTTTTTTTCTAAACATGCCTTCTGTTTCCTTGCTTGCCTGCAGTACTGAGACAAGGATTGGCATTCAGTCAAATCTATCGTTTTTCCTTGTCTGATGGCACTCTTGTTGCTGCACAAACGAAGAGCAAACTCATCCGTTCTCAGACTACTAATGAACCTCAACTTGTAATATCTTTACATATGCTTCACAGGTAATCCTAGTTCTAAGAAGTCATTTTCCCTTTCCAAATTAAGAGGAGATATTACAGAAGCAGCAAATCATTTTAGAGCTTTGCAGATTTGCTAGGTGTTTCTTCTCATCAATCCCAGTAATGTAAAATATAACATTAAATTGTTACTAACTATTGGCCAAAAGACAACTCATAATATAATTGGCCCTCTGTATCCATGGGTTCTGCCTCTCAGGATACAACCAATCACAGATGGAAAATATTTGGGGGGGGTGGGAAATACATATATATATATATAATGTTATACTGTGTTATATTAATTGTATTATAACTGTTTATACTGTATTAAATATTATAAGAAATTATTATCTAAAAATGATTTAAAGTATATAGGAGGATGTGTGTAGGTTATATGCAAAAACTGTGCCATTTTATATCAGGGACTTGAGGATCCATGGATTTAGTGTCTGCGGCGGGGGGCAGGATGGAGGCTAGAACCAGTCACCCATTACACCAGCAAACAACTGTACTGGCAACGCAGGCAAAATAGGACTCTGCTTTGAATTTTAGCCTTAACACTAGTGAATTGCAAAACCCAACTGCAAGAACACAAGGCCAGCAGTAACTTTGCTCAGACATGATTCCCCGTTACATTGAAAAAGGGAAATCTATTGATTAGCTCCAAGTAGCAACAAATGCAGGGTAGGAATATTGATGTCAATGGTGTGATTTCTATTTGTGCTCCTCTCCTGTGTGTTTAAATGTAGAATTTTTTTTTTTTTTTTTTGGAGACAGAGTCTTGCTCTGTGTCACAGACTGGAATACAGTGGCGTGATCTCAGCTCACTGCATCCTCTGCCTCTTGGGTTCCCAGGCAGTTCTCGTACCTCAGCCTCCTGAGTAGCTGTGATTATAGGCGTGTGCCAGCCTTGAGTGATCCTTCCACCTTGGCCTCCCAAATTGCTGGGATTACAGGTGTGGGCCACCATGTGCAGCCTAAATCTAGAACTTTCTATGTACATATTAACAAATGATATTTTAGATTTTTGATCTCAGGTTTAAATTCACTTCTTGACATTAGACCTTACATTGATGGGTAATAAACATTTTCATGAAAAATGAAGATAAATTGAATGTTGATTTTTAAATAAATGTCATAAACCATATTGTTTTAGAGTACATATTTAGGATAATGATTAAATTTCAGTAGTTATCTAAATATTTATGTATATGCTGTGGAAACTTTATGAGATCCTATCAGTAAATATATAATGTTACTCTGGCTGAGGAGTCACATTTTATCACATTTCTCAATTCACTGTCTATTTAGGAGTAAAAAAATCAGGCAACCCTGTTTGCCAACTGTTAATAAATCTAACCTCAAACTAAAACAATTTGAAAGTGATTACAGATGTGGCAAATTTCACCCACCTAACCAAAAGCTGATGTTTGACAATTTGTGAAACCTGTTTTATTTGGATTTGTGAACACATTTGGTAACTCAAAAGTGACTGCCAAGGCTGTAAATTAAAGCTCATAGAACTTGCAAAATCATCCTGCTCAGAAAGCCTGCTTTTAGTCATTAGTAAGGAGATGGAATGGAGTTATCCAGGAGTAGAAGAATAAGATCACAAACTAAAGTCACTCTGAACTTCCCTTCCCATGCTGTTGGCTCTGAGGTCTCCCTGACTTGGAGGGGTGTGGGGTGAAGAGGTGAGTAGAAATCTGTTGAACAAGGTGATCTAATTCTAAACAGTTTAGTAACTATTAGTTCTAGAACTGGCAGAGTTTCTCTTAACAGTTAGGGGCAAGTTGTTTTCCTCTGAGTTTGTTCATCTTGAGCCAAGTAGTACATATCAGAGCTCTGGGCTTTTCAGATGTGTCTATTGTTAGGAATTATAATGTCTGGAAAAAAAACTGAAGACAGCTCTTCTCATTTCTTTCAGACAGTACAAACTCTCAGCTACTCATGAGAAAAGATATATTATGTAATTGGAACCCTGATAATGTCTTGTCTAGTAAATGCAATTTCAATACAGTAGTAGTCAAATTTAAACACACCCCCTCTGTAAAACCAAACATCTTAATGAGTTGCCTGAAAAACATCCCTCTTGGTCCAACACTGTACATGTTCAGTCTTGTCCGTAATTGCAGATGGTTTCAACAAAGTATTATCTGTCTTTTAAATGTAGTCTGTTCTTTTAAAGTGAAGAGACCATCTCATTTTTAAAAATTAATAACAACTTGCTAAGTATTTTTCCGTTTATCTTACATTTCTTTCTTTCCTCGTTATACAGAGAGCAGAATGTGTGTGTGATGAATCCGGATCTGACTGGACAAACGATGGGGAAGCCATTGAATCCAATTAGCTCTAGCAGCCCTGCCCATCAGGCCCTGTGCAGTGGGAACCCAGGTCAGGACATGACCCTCAGTAGCAATATAAATTTTCCCATAAATGGCCCAAAGGAACAAATGGGCATGCCCATGGGCAGGTTTGGTGGTTCTGGGGGAATGAACCATGTGTCAGGCATGCAAGCAACCACTCCTCAGGGTAGTAACTATGCACTCAAAATGAACAGCCCCTCACAAAGCAGCCCTGGCATGAATCCAGGACAGCCCACCTCCATGCTTTCACCAAGGCATCGCATGAGCCCCGGAGTGGCGGGCAGCCCTCGAATCCCACCCAGTCAGTTTTCCCCTGCAGGAAGCTTGCATTCCCCTGTGGGAGTTTGCAGCAGCACAGGAAATAGCCATAGTTATACCAACAGCTCCCTCAATGCACTTCAGGCCCTCAGCGAGGGGCACGGGGTCTCATTAGGGTCATCGTTGGCTTCACCGGACCTAAAAATTGGCAATTTACAAAACTCCCCAGTTAATATGAATCCTCCCCCACTCAGCAAGATGGGAAGCTTGGACTCAAAAGACTGTTTTGGACTTTATGGGGAGCCCTCTGAAGGTACAACTGGACAAGCAGAGAGCAGCTGCCATCCTGGAGAGCAAAAGGAAACAAATGACCCCAGCCTGCCCCCGGCCGTGAGCAGCGAGAGAGCCGACGGGCAGAGCAGGCTGCATGACAGCAAAGGGCAGACCAAACTCCTGCAGCTGCTGACCACCAAATCCGATCAGATGGAGCCCTCACCCTTAGCCAGCTCTTTGTCGGACACAAGCAAAGACTCCACAGGTAGCTTGCCTGGTTCTGGGTCAACACATGGAACCTCGCTCAAGGAGAAGCATAAAATTTTGCACAGACTCTTACAGGACAGCAGTTCCCCTGTGGACTTGGCCAAGTTAACAGCAGAAGCCACAGGCAAAGACCTGAGCCAGGAGTCCAGCAGCACAGCTCCTGGGTCAGAGGTGACTGTTAAACAAGAGCCGGTGAGCCCCAAAAAGAAAGAGAATGCACTACTTCGCTATTTGCTAGATAAAGATGATACTAAAGATATTGGTTTACCAGAAATTACCCCCAAACTTGAGCGACTGGACAGTAAGACAGATCCTGCCAGTAACACAAAATTAATAGCAATGAAAACTGAGAAGGAAGAGATGAGCTTTGAGCCCGGTGACCAGGTAAGTTTTGTCACATCTTCTCCCATGTGTACTAATCTGTATCCATCAAGGATTTTCTCCAAAAGGGCATTATGAAGCCTCAGGTGATTGGATAAAAATAAGTTTTCTCCTTTGTTGTTCTTACCTTGAAATTCTCACTGAAACTGTGTGTTTCAAATACTCTTCCTAGCAAAGAGTGACATTGTTATAGAACATGGATGGGCAGGCCTTTTTTTGTGAGGACCAAATGGTGAGTATTTTAGTCTCTGCAGGTCATGTAGTCTCTGTCACAACCGTTCAGCTCCACCACTGTAGTACAAAAGCAGCCACAGACACTGTAAACAAACTTGAATGTGACTTTGCTCCAATAAAACATTGCTTATAGACGCTGAAATTTGAATTTCATACAAGTATCTTGTGTCACAAAATATTTTAATTTTTTTGTAACCATCAAAAAATGGAAATTCATTCTTAGCACATACAAAAACAGGATTTAGCCCACAGGCTGGTGGTAGTTTGCTGACCTCTGTTATGGAAGCTGCCTGAATTGGAGATAATCACTTCCTTGAAACTGGGCTTTGTCGGAACAGATTTAATTGAATTATTTCTTATTTACCTTTCTCTGTTTTTAAGATCAGAGTTTAACTGGTTTTTAAACTCAATGAAGGTTATTCTACTTCTATTTATTCTTTATTTTTTTTTTAATTTTAATTTTTTTTACTTCTATTTACTCTTAACTAAACTTCTGATTAATGCAAAAAAAATTTCTTAGACCACTGGTATAAAAAATACTTAAGAGGGAAAGGATAGTAGAAAGGAAAGAGAAAGGTTGATCTGGTATTGGTACATCTGAGCCATGGTATGTAAATTCAAAACTAGAACAATAGGCTACATTATCTGCTGAATAATAAGTTCCCGGAAAAAAATTCAGGATACCTAAAGTGATGGTCAAAATAATTCTTACTGGCCGGGCGCGATGGCTCACGCCTGTAATCCCAGCACTTTGGGAGGCCGAGGCGGGTGGATCACCAGGTCAAGAGATCGAGACCATCCTGGTCAACATGGTGAAACCCCGTCTCTACTAAAAATACAAAAAAACTAGCTGGGCATGGTGGCGCGTGCCTGTAATCCCAGCTACTCGGGAGGCTGAGGCAGGAGAATTGCCTGAACCCAGGAGGCGGAGGCTGCAATGAGCCGAGATCGCGCCATTGCACTCCAGCCTGGGTAAGGGGGAGCGAAACTCCGTCTCAAAAAAAAATAATAATAATAATAATAATTCTTACTTATTATACTTGACAAATTAAAATTGTATATATTTATGGCATACAACTTGTTATTTCGAAATAAATATCCTGGAATGGTTAGATCAAGCTAACTAACGAATATATTACCTCACATACTTTTTGGGATACAAATACTTAAAATCTATTAGTGATTTTCAGGTATATAATACGTTATTACTAACTGTAGCCACGATGTTGTACAATAGATCTCTTGAATGTATTCCTCCTGGCCAACTGAAATTTGTATCCTTTGACCAACATCTCCTCAACCTTCCACCCCAAATCATTCTTGATAATACTCTAAGGTGATAATGACATCACAGGGAAAAAGTAAGCTATTATTTTTCTTCATTAAAAAATAAAAACAGACTGAGCAAAGTGATCATGGCTCTAATCCCAACACTTTGGATGGCCAAGGTGGAGGATTGCTTGAGGACAGGAGTTCCAGACCAGCCTGGGCAACGTGATGAAACTCCATCGCTAGAAAACATAAAAAAATTAACTAGGTGTGGTGGCATGTACCTCTAGTCTCAGCTACTGAGGAGGCTGAGGCTGCTTGAGCCCAGGAGTTGGAGGCTGCAGTGAGCTATGATTGCACCACTACACTCCAGTCTAAGCAATAGCTTGAGACCCTGTCTCAAAAAATAAAAACCCATTTAAAGAAAAGATGCGTTATTAACAGCCACAGTGACTTTGTATGAGACATTTCCTGGGGAATCAATGATCCAAGACTTCACCCTGGCCATCACTTTCCTCTAGTCCCTGGATATCCCCCGTACTTCTTATCTGTTCTTGAGTCATGATTGGTTAAGAAGTGAGGAAGCCAAGAGGGCCTTCCTACTTAAAATGGCTCAAGTTTTGTCCTTGAAATTTGTTGTGCAAGTGGATATTTCATGTGTTAGTGTCGTCAGTGGATGGAGAGCGGGAAAGCACACCCCTTGCTGTACCCTGGGGCTCTGCTGAGTCGGTAGAGCTAACCCAAAGGCAGGTCTGGGCTTGAGAGCCATCGTCAGGCAAGCTGAGGCCACACTTGCTCTTCTAGCTGGGCTCCATCTGGGCTTCCAAGCACTTGGCTTTCTTGTTTCTTTCACGTTGATGCCTTGACAGCTGCTGCCATTTCTAAAGGTCAGATATAATTTTTCAAGACTTCATCCCATTTACAAGGGAAACAGAACCAAATTATATAAATATCTTGGGCGGTTAATCCTTAAACTTAGATGTTAGTGCAAGGTTTTATTAGCAGCTATTCCATAATGCTGTAAAATCATTAAATGAGGAAACCGGTATCTCAGAAGAAAATTAATAGCAATGTCTTGGAAAAAGTGAAGTGTAAAACCATATTGACACCTGTAAATGTTTTAATCTTTTGAGGTTTATTAGATTAGAATCTACACAGCTAGTGGCAGTTCAGAGCGGCAGGCATAGTGGCACTCAGGCCTCTTGACATACGCTGGAGGGCAAGATGGTCTTCCTTAGCTTAGTGTCTAATGTGGCCAGGCCCTCCCTCTGTAAACAATTTATTTCTATCTCAGGCCTGATCTGAGGCCCTAGGGACTTAAGAGGGTCAAGGAAAGGGGCCACTTTTCGGTATTTCTGTATTTATTTATGTGATTACACTAACTTCAGATAAGAAACTGACAAAAAAGGAGTTTTTTTAGTCCTTGAGTCACTTGCAGTTTCAGATTATTATTTAGGAGAAATGTTTTTCGGGTAAAAGTTGTCTCAACTAGGAAACATAAAGCCCAGAGTATAATCAGCACAGATCTGTTTTTTGGGGGAATCAAAAAGCAGTGTACACAGGCACACACACATGTGCACACAAACAGAGGCATATATAGTAAGTATATTTTTCTTAATGAAATCCAGTCCCTGGTCTCACCCTCCCTTCACTCTCATGTAAAACTCCACCAGGAGTACTGCTTTAGAGCAATTTTAACATCAAAAACATTGCAGCTTGAAAAGTTACCACAGGAAGTGTGTATTACCTATATTTAGGTCAAAGTTGGAATGACTGACTTTTGAGAAAAAAACAATGATTCTTTCACCTCTTGCTCACCTTCACTATTTCCAAATACAGGTTAATTGCATCTCCTATTGATTGCTGTACAGACTTACTGAAGACTTTTCTTTCAAGGGAATACAATAAGTTATTTAGTTAGTGAGATAAACTGTTAGTGAGTCTGAATTGCACAGTTAACTGTCTTGTTATTTTGATTCAGAAAAGAGCCATTGACTGAGTGTGTGTTTAATCTATTACTAACTTATTAAGGACAGGAAGTACTTCGATGGTGTTATTATACCTAAAATAGCATTTTTTTACTGGGCCGAGTAGTTAAACAACATTTGTTTCTACAGCATTTCCTAACCAACAGGAAACAGTAACAGAAAAATTTCCAATATGTTTACAGACTTTTAAGTTACATACTTACTTACACAGTTGAGCATGCTTTTGATACCTAACCAAATGTTGCTGAGACACGTAGGATAAGGGTTTGGAAATAGTCTAAAAAGAATTTCTTCTTGGTATTTGACTCCATTAGAAAGGTAAACCATATTTTAAACTGATAGTGTGCTGAACATTTATCTCCAGATGTCATAGAATTGTATTACCATTTCTTAACAATTTTGTATTGGCAAACATGATAAAATTATACTTTTTATTTAAAATATTTTGAAAAGATGCTTTGTAATTTATTAGAATACTGATGTTATTAAAATGCATGTGCTTTTTATATTTCCTGCAGAGAAGAAGTTGATTTGACATGAAAAAAATCCTAAAACCAGAAAAATGAAAAATTAAAGAAATCAAGTCTAATTTTCATTTTGTAGAACTTTTATAAAAATCTTTCTGACTCATTTTCTGCCTGAAATAGTTTAAACTAACAACTCAAATTGATGTGGCTAATTTGAGCATTCAAATAGATGCCTAAGCAAAACTTTGAAGTATCTTGGCAAAGCATTTTAAAGGAAGGCATCAATCTTTTTGTCTTGTGAAGAAATTGTGCCTAACAAAGTGGGTAGAGACTAGAAGAAATTTTGATGAGAATTAAAGCCTACAAAAATTGAGAGGAGAAAATTTTTTTATCAGAAACTTAATATAATCAAATTTATTCCTTCCAAAACTTATGTGAATACAGAAAAAAATGCTATAGTCATCATATGTTATTGTTAACCTGAGGGTTATACATATTCTGAACTTTTATCTCCTTGAAGAAGAACATGTAAAGTAAACTTATAACAATTAATGTTAAATGTGTGCTCCAAAAATTGACAAGGAATAAACACAGGCAAAGCAATATTATCTCTAGTGGAGAAAATTTCATAATGCATTTTTCAGATGCTAAGGTGAATGAATTCAAATAGTGTTCATAGTTATGAGCCTTCGTAGAATTAGTCCTTTTGATATAATACCAAGAAGATCCTGAATGACTTTTCTTAAGAAAAATGTATTTAGGCTGACTGCGGTGATCCACCCCTGTAATCCCAACACCTTGGGAAGCCGAGGCAGGCAGATCACCTGAGGTTGGGAGTTCGAGACCAGCCTGGCCAACATGGAGAAATGCGGTTTCTACTAAAAGTACAAAAAAATTAGCCAGGTGTGCTAGCACATGTCTGTAGTCCAACTACCCAGGGCACTGAGGCAGGAGAATCGCTTGAATCAGGGAGGCGGAGGTTGCAGTGAGCCCAGATCATGCCACAGCACTCTAGCATGGCCAGCAGGGTAAGACTGTGTCTCAGAAAAAGAAAGATGTATTTAATTACTTGTCAGAGCTAAACTGATTAGATCAAAATTTGAAAGTCTATTAACTTTAGTATATGCTTTTGGAAAATAAAGATTAATTGCTGGGTACGGTGGCTCATGCCTGTAATCCTAGCACTTGGGGAGGCTGAGGTGGGCAGATACCTAAGGTCGGGAGTTTAAGACTAACCTGGCCAGCATGGTGAAACCCCATCTCTACTAAAAATACAAAAATTAGCTGGTGTGGTGTGGTGTGGTGTCCGGTTCCTGTAATCCCAGCTACTTAGGAGGCTGAGACAGGAGAATTACTTGAACACAGGAGGCAGAGGTTGCAGTGAGCCAAGATCGTGCCATTGCACTACAGCCTAGGAGACAAGAGCGAAATTCCATATCAAAATAAATAAATAAATAAAAATAATAACAAAAATTATTCAAGAAAAATAATGGATTTTAAATTTTATTATTTGGAAATTATTTGAAATAAATTGGTTTTAACCATTCAAATATACACACACGTGTGTGTGTTTGTGTGTGTGTGGTGTTTTCAGACAGAGTCTCGCTCTGTAGACACAGACTGGAGTGCAGTGGTGTGATCTTGGCTCACTGCAACCACCCCCTCCTGGGTTCAAGCCATTCTCCTGCCTTAGCCTCCTGAGTAGCTGGAATTATAGGCAGGCGCCACCACGCCAGCTAATTTTTGTGTTTTTGGTAGAGATGAGGTTTCACCATGTTGGCCAGGCTGGTCTCAAGTGAGCCACCTCCCTTGGCCTCCCATAGTGCTGGGATTATAGGCGTGAGCCATCACACCTGGCCTAAACCATTTAAATATACTTTAACATACATGCATACATGTATATAACATTAGACTTATATTAAACTCATTATGTTAGACACAGGAATGAGTAGCTTACAAAGGAAGATACATGAATTCTGTCATTAGAACTGTTTGAAAGTATAACAGCTATTTTTCTATTCAGGGTGATTTACAGTATAATTTCGTTTGTGTGAAAGGAGTCAAGGTAAAAACAAAAGATGTGGCCAGGTGTGGTGGCACACACCTGTAATGCCAGCACTTTGGAAGGCTGAGGTGGGTGGATCACTTGGCTAGGAGTTCAAGACTAGCCTGGCCAACATGATAAAATGCCATCTCTACTAAAAATACGAAAACAACCCAGGTGTAGTGGTGCACACTTGTAGTTTCAGCTATTGGGGAGGCTGAGGCAGGTGAATTGCTTGAACCCAGGAGGTGAGGTTGCAGTGAGCCCATATTGCACCACTGCACTCCAGCCTGGGCGACAGAGTGAGAGCTTGTCTCCAAAAAAAAAAGAAGAGAGAAAGGTGTGAGTAGTCTAGACTGTTCTTAATATATATTGTCCAAAGTTCCTTTTACGTATGTCTGGGATTGGGAGCAAATATAAGTGTATCCATTGAGAAATAACATACTTTATTTTTATTATTGTTTACATGGACTTACTTTTTTTGTATATTTCTCTTAAAAGTAATCTGCAGAGCTTTCTCAAGAGGCAACTTACCACTTACTATAGCCCACCTCCCTCACGCCCTACACATGGAGCTTCTATCTTTTAAAAATGCTCAACACGGGACAGCATTGTAGTAGGAAAACTGGGTTTCGTAGAACAGATACAGCCTTCTCAGTTTATTAGAGCCTTTTTCTGATCTATCTTCATGACAAGTATAAGGAAATTTACCACAGATTTTTATGAAACATTTTTCTGAAAAGTAAAGGAAATTATAGGAATTTCTATGAAAAAAATATTGATTTTGGGAAGATTTTTTGAATTATGTGTTAATATGATTAAAGTAATTCATCTTGTTGACTCGGTGCCCATTACTTAGTTCCAGGCGCTGTCCTTGGAGGGCAGTACATGTTTATGCTGAGAGTATCAGTTTATACCTTACGTATTCAGCAAAACATGATAAAGAAGATTATAGTGGAGTCACTTTACATATGTATTTGAAGTACATAAAGTCAGTTTTATGTTTCTGGAAGAAGAGATGGTTATTAAATGGTTGTTTCAGTAGTATGAGCAGTTTTGCCCACCATTGAACTGAATGAATACATGCCGTATTGGAGTGATCATGAGGTGGGTGACATGACTTTGCTGGATTTTGGTTCCCTTGTGGCTGTAATAGTGTGAACATGTACCTGTGGGCTTTTTAAATGCAGCATGGCCCCTACATAAACACTTCACTTTGGACTCAACCAAAGAAATAGTAATTTGCTGTCACTCTGGAGGAAAGACTGTGTTGCCCTTGGAGGAGACACCCAGTGTAGTGCATTTCTACAGAGCTTAAAGATCATTTGGCCTGTCTGTGACTGTCTGTACTTTAGGCTGCCAGCTCTTACCTTGTAACTAACTCTACCATATATGATGCCTCCCTTTTTTGTTAAAATTGAGTGGCTAAACTAACTAAAAAATGGTCTTGTAATTGCTCTAACAATGCATTAGGAAAATGGATCGCCTGGTTACCACTAAGCTAGTTGTCTCAGAAAAATCAAATAAAATGTCACTTCATTCTATTCTTCTTAACTTGAGAAATATATCCAATCAAAAGACATCTCATATGGATGTGACATTTGCCATAAGTTGCAAAAATCTTGGCAGATCCAACCTCTGCATGGGGAGGAATTGTCTGTAGCATAAAAATGTAAGCCATCCTGCTTTAAGTGTAACTCATTATCAGATGTACGCCGTGAGTTTCATTTGATTTGCCAGTGTAGATGAAAGGAATAGTTGCGGTCGAGGATTCAAAGTCCAATGACTAAGGAAACTAACGTGTTTTCCACCTACACATCAAGAAAATTGTTTGTACCACTTTCTGCACTGGAAAGCAATCCTAGCATGTAACTCAACCATTTTCATGTGGTTGGCACTATCTGATTTTAAATATCTGGCACATAGACAGGTTGTATTCAAAATAATATCTGTAAAATCTAGAATAAATTCCAGTTTAGCTTCCTAGAAGAAAAGTACTAAATATGAAATAGTAGTGATACTTAGCTTATGTTAGTGCTTGAATTTTGTTTTTTTTTAATGGAAGAGAAACTTCATAAACATTTTTTGTAGCTGGCTTCTCTAGACAGGCAGTGGCTCTCTCCTGTAATCCCAGCACTTCGGGAAGATGAGGCGGGAGGATTGCTTGAACTCAGGAGTTTGAGACCAGTGTAGGCAACAAAATGAGACCCTATCTCTACAAAAAAAATAATAAATTAAAAAATTAGCTAGACATGGCGGTGCATGCCTGTGGTTCCAGCTACTGAGGAGACTGAAGTGGCAAGATCACTTGAGCCCAGGAGGTTAAGGCTACAGGGATGAGTGTGTGCTACTGCACACCAGCCTGGGTGACAGAGCAAAACCCTTTCTCAGAAAAAAAAAAAAAAAAAAAAAAAATTGATAACTTCTGTATAATCAGGCTGATAATTCTGTGTTTGGGGACAACCAGTTTTTATCCTGCTTCCCTACATTTTGTCACCTAAGCTGGCGAGTGACTGGGAAAGCCACTGTCATTCAAAATTGAAAGTGCAAGCAGGAAAAAAGGACCACTCAAATTGAAAAGGCAGTGCTTAGTTCACGGTTACTTCAAGATTATTTTGCTTCTCTCTCCCCACCACCCTACTCTTTTGAAAGATAAAAAAAACATCCTGAAAGGAAATGACAATTCGTTAAAAACTGATTGGGTAAAAATTTGGATTACATTGTATGCCAGGTTTTTTTTGTTGTTATTTCTTCGGGAGTTTTGACGATAAAGCCTGGACCTGGACCATAAGTCATAGTCTATTCGTAATTAATTGGAAATATACAGTCTCACAATTAATTGAATGATCGAGCATAAAATAGAGAAGAATTTATAAATTGCCATTGAATCACAATACTGGAAAAGAGCTTTCATTCTAATTCAGCCATCAGTTTTTATAGATGAGGAAATTGAGGACCAAGAGATTAAATTACTTGTCTTTTGTCAACTTAATTTTTTAAAAGATGATCAATTATCTGTTAGGCCTGAGGTGTGCATGAATCTACGTCTTTTATTTGGCTGTGATGCCTTATGACAGTTAGGTCAATGATTGCAAATGGGCTTGTGCTGTCCACTCTTAGAGCAGGACTGGATAAACTCTTCTGTTTGTCGACTACAGCCTGGCAGTGAGCTGGACAACTTGGAGGAGATTTTGGATGATTTGCAGAATAGTCAATTACCACAGCTTTTCCCAGACACGAGGCCAGGCGCCCCTGCTGGATCAGTTGACAAGCAAGCCATCATCAATGACCTCATGCAACTTACAGCTGAAAACAGCCCTGTCACACCTGTTGGAGCCCAGAAAACAGCACTGCGAATTTCACAGAGCAGTGAGTATGAGAAATGGCTGGTTATGCCAAGAAATTTCCATAAAATCACTATCAGAAACAGGGATTATTGAAGTCTGATGCAACCAGCTTAGTCACTTTAAGGTTTTTGTGATCAAATAGCACCATCTACTGTCCTACTCTTTTGAAACAGTATTCAAAATGGATCCTCCTGGGCATGGTTCTGTCACATTCTCTTGTGGGTAATTTAATCGGCATGGAACAGGGAGACTGACCTACATTGATGAGGTTCTTCAACTGATTGTCATATCTCCCTTCATTTCCGTTACTGCCTTCAGACATGGAGTTTATCCTAGATTTTATGTGTTTAATATACAATGAAATACGGAAATATAGGACATCTGGGAGCTATGCTGACTTTTAGGGGTAATACACTATTTTAAATTATTCTACCCTCCCAGACTGCTCAGCTGGTAGTAACAGAAAATAAATTTTAAAAATAATAAAATACTCAAAATTACTTATTATACATGAAATGGCTACACACATGACAAATTTTGTCCTATCTCAGGAATCCTCATAAAAACATCACTTGACATGGAACTTTATGTGTCTAAGTGTATTCTAAGTTTAATTTTCTGTTTAGAAAAAACATTTTTTATCTTTTCATTTTAAAAGCTTTAGCATAAACTCATTATTCACTATGAACACTTCAGCTTACAAACTTGATAATACCGGAGGTTATCTGGTAGTTTTTATTGGAAGAAATTGATAATACCTGAAGTTGTCTGAAATTTTGTACAGAAGAAAGTATCTGTTCTGTAGCAAGGCCATAATTCATAGAAAGATAGATAACCTCTTCAGTGTTAAATTGGCAAAACAGAGTGATTTTCCCTTTCAGGTACAGTTTGAGCCAATACCTGGCATTTGTTCTCAGATTAGAAATGGCAACTATCAGTCAAATTATAGAATATCTTTAATTACTAGGTCTTTTCTCAAGTGATTTCTGACTATTCTGAAATAGACAAAACAAAAGAAAGATGAGTTTGGGCTGGGCATGATGGCAGTCACCTGTAATCCCAGCTACTTGGGAGGATAAGGCAGGAGAATCACTTGAATCTGGGAGGTGGAGGTTGCAGTGAGCCAATATCATGCCACTGCACTCCAGCCTGGGTGATAGAGTGAGGCTCCATCTCAAAAAAAGAAAAAAGAAAAGCTTTTGCATATGACCTTTCACACCTCTTTCTTGGGTAATGGAAAGTTTAATTGTGGATCATGGGAGATCACAAAGTCAAAGAGTTTAGAATTGGGTTAGAAACACACTAGATAGGCTGGGCACAGTGCCTCATGCCTATAATACCAGTGCTTTGGGAGGCCGAGGTAGGTGGATCACCTGAGTTCAGGAGTTTGAGGCCAGCCTGGCCAACATGGTGAAACCCCACCTCTACTAAAAATCCAAAAAATTTGCTGGCGTAGTGGTAGGTGCCTGTAGTCCCAGCTACTCAGGATGCTGAGGCAGGAGAATCACTTGAATCTGGGAGGCGGAGGTTGCAGTGAACCGAGACTATGCCACTGCACTCCAGCCTGGGCAACAAGAACGAAACTCAGTCTCAAAAAAAAAAAAAAAAAAAAAAAAAGAAACACATTAGGCAGCCTGTGCTCGTTAGCATGGGGAGGTAATGAAAGACCGTGTAGAATTCATGGTTTCTCCTCTTTCTGTAGCTCCTGATGGTATTCAGATTATTGATGGCAACCTGATAACCAAACCTGTGGAAATCATGATTAAGCATGCACATAATTTCTATTCCCAGCCCTAATTTTTAAAAATACTTTGTTTCTATCATTGATGGTTAAGAACTTTTTCTTTTAAATGTGCTATTTCAGACTGTGTTTTTATAATTCAGGGAAAATTCAGTACTTGATATTATGTAATACATTACTATAATTTGTCATAACATAGCATTTTAAATTTAATAACATTAATAAATTATGGATTGTCAATGTGATGCTGGTCTAGTGCTTAGTACACAATACTTACCAACTACAAAAACTATATCAAATCCAAATGTATCTAGAATTTAAGGAAACTATACTTTGAAAAGTAAGCAGGGCCTTATAGCTTTAATTTAATAGTGCTTTGGACAACAGCATTCCCACTTAAAATTTTTAACTTCTAACGAGAGTAACCCCTTTAAATCTAATTCTGATCCTAGGAAAGCCCAGTTAAGAAGTGATATTCTGGCCAGGCATGGTGGCTCACGCCTGTAATCCTAGCACTTTGGGAGGCCGAGTCAGGCAGATCACAGGTCAGGAGTTTGAGACCAGCCTAGCCAATGTGGTGAAACCCCATCTCTACTAAAACTACAAAAATTAGCCAAGCATGGTGGCAGGCGCCTGTAACCCAGCTACTCGGGAGGCTGAGGCAGGAGGATTGCTTGAACCCAAGAGTCGGAGTTTGCAGTGAGCCAAGATCATGTCATTGTACTCCAGCCTGGGTGACAAGAGTAAGACTCCATCTCAAAAAAAAAAAAAAAAAAAGTGATATGCTGATATCCAGACCACATGTGTATAGGTTTGGTGATGTATGTAAGAGATATTTATAGCTTCATAGCTTTGAGAAAACAGTACTCCCAAGTTTTAATATTGTAACATGAAGAAAACATTGGTTTACTTAGCAAATACAGTTGTATATTTGAAATTACTACTGGGAGCCAGACACGGTGGCTTATGCCTGTAATCCCAGCACTTTGGAAGGCCAAGGCAGGAGGATCACTTGAGACAAGAAATTTAAGACCAGCTTAGGCAATGTAGTGAGACACTGTCTCTACAAAAAATTTTAAAAATTAGCCAGACTTGGTGGCACCTACCTGTAGTCCTAGCTTACTCAGAAGTCTGATGCAAAAGGATCTCTTAAGCCTGGGAGTTAAAAGCTGCAGTTAACTATGATTGTACTGTGGCACTCCAGCCGGGGCAATAGAGTGAGACCCTGTATTTAAAAAGAAAAAGAAAAGGCCAGGCATGGTCGCTCACATCTGTAATCCCAGCACTTTGGGAGACCAAGGCAGGCAGATGACCTGAAGTCAGGAGTTCAAGACCAGCCTGGCTAACATGATGAAACCCCACTTCTACTAAAAATACAAAAAATTAGCCAGGCGTGGTGGCGTGCACCTGTAATCCCAGCTACTTGGGAGGCTGAGACAGGAGAATCACTTGAACCTGGGAGGTGGAGGTTGCAGTGAGCTGAGATCGCACCATTGCACTCCAGCTTGGGCAATAAGAGCAAAACTTCATCTCAAGAAGAAAGAATGAATGAATGAAATTACTATTGGTAGGAAGGTATATGGTAAATAATATACATGTGTGTGTTTTGTTTTGCAAGATCATCAAGAATTAGAGACCGGTCGACTAGATCACATGTCTGTACGCAGGGATGCTGCATGTGTTTTTTGTCTGTGATTTTGTCTTTTATCTGGGTAGTTGGTCCCTGACGTACATACCTATGTCATTTTACAGACATTGTCCCTAAACACTACTACTGTTAATATTACTTTCCATTATCCTATATTAACCTTCAATTTTCATTTGTTTTCTCCTTAGCTTTTAATAACCCACGACCAGGGCAACTGGGCAGGTTATTGCCAAGCCAGAATTTACCACTTGACATCACATTGCAAAGCCCAACTGGTGCTGGACCTTTCCCACCAATCAGAAACAGTAGTCCTTACTCAGTGATACCTCAGCCAGGAATGATGGGTAATCAAGGGATGATAGGAAACCAAGGAAATTTAGGGAACAGTAGCACAGGTAAGGGCTCAAATGCACTGTTACTTTATTGGTGGGTTATTTAATTTAATGGTGTATTTATCCACATTAAACTAGTGGAATTTTTGAAGTGAACTTTTTATGTTAGAAAATAACATAAATTTGAAAGTGAGAAAACTATACAAATTTTCACTGTGAGAATGGCATATGGGAAAGCCTTCCAGTAAGCTAACCATTTAATTCTATGATGTTACTTTTATGAGGTTTCCAACCATCAATCCAATAGCTGAGACTTACTCACTTCTATCCCAGTTACTGTTCTAGGCATTGCAGGGTATGTATAAAATTATTCCAGGAATAATTTACTGATACCCCCAGAACTTCTCATGGATTGATTATTTGTTTTTGGAGAATTTCAGAATAAGAGCTTAAAATCTTATTTATACTTCTAGGTAATAAAATTTTCATTGCAAAAACTACTAAGAACTTTAAACAGTAACATGCCTGGCCTAATAGCTTTCATTTCTGGTCCCTGACTCAGGAGTTTGAGACCAGCCTGGCTAACATGGTGAAACCCCATCTCTACTTAAAATACAAAAATTAGCTGGGCATTGTGGCACACACCTGTAGTCTCAGCTACTTGGGAGGCTGAGGCAGGAGAATCGCTTGAACCCAGGAAGTGGAGGTTGCAGAGAGCTGAGATCACGGCACTGCACTCCAGCCTGGGCGACAGAAAGAGAGTACATCTCAAAAAAAAACACAGACTGAGAGGGACTCTCCTAGTTATCATTGCAGTAATATTGTTGAATTATGGATCACTTTCTTTTTTGCTTTCTAGACTTTCTATAATCTTGTCATATTATTTAGATAACAGATGTTTTGAAAAATAAAATCCCTTTCTCCCATAATATTTTTCTGTAGTTCAAAATCTAATTCTTAAATGGTTTTTAAAATATGCATTAATGGAATACCCTTCTAACTTTTTATTTTAGTTTTTTCTTTTGAGACAGTGTCTCACTCTGTCACCCAGGCTGAGGGGCAGTGCTACAATGATGGCTCACTGCAGCCTCAACCTCCCAGTCTGAAATGATCCTCCCACCTCAGCCTTCCAAGCAGCTGGGACTACAGGCATCTGCCACCACACCTGGCTAATTTTGTATTTTTTATAGAGACAGGGTTTCGCCATGTTGCCCAAGCTGGTCTCTAATTCCTGAGCTCAAGCGATCTGCCCACCTCAGCCTCCCTAAGTGCTGAGATTACAGGCATGAGCCACCACACTTGGCCTTCTGACTTTTTAAAATCTAACTAACCACCTTTCACCCTTAATCATCCTTACAGCACATTCTCATTTCATAAGTGAAGGAACGCCCACAATGCATGTTCTCTTCTTTTGTTAAATATACCCCATTTTTAGTTGTTTATCATAATTAAAGAAAATGAAAGCAAGCCATATATTTGAAAGCAGAACCTTTATGTATCCATCGTTAAACACTTCAAAATGAAGAGACCTCATTTGGAGAGTTTCCTTTTTAGAATATCGGGTTTTAGCCATTATCAGCATCCTAGGGGCCAGGCCAGCATTAGGCTTTTATATGTGGTCAGATAACCGTTAACATCTCAAAAAAGAAGGGATTTTTACAAATCTGTCCTAACCCATTCTAGATGTTTATAGTCAGGAATACAGTGGTCTAGGTATATTGAAGTCATGGGAGTTCGCTTGCCTTGGCTATGAAAAACTACAGTAAATATCAGAAAGATCCTGTAATTTCTCCACTACTTAGAGGCTACTCTTGGTCAGTTTTGAAGTTTAACAAATTATAATACCCTGAAGGAGACTTGAGGATAAAGTCTCATATAGACTTCAAGATATCTTCAATGATTTTTGTTTATAATGAGAGCATTGATTATCAGTTTTTACCTTGTTCCTCTTAGCCTCTACCTCCCTTTTGGAAAGTAAAGCATTTACGTGTATATCAGCTAATGTGATTCACTTCCTGAGGAAGGAAGTTGGGGTTATCCACATACCACGGCACCTGTTTCTTAGTACAAATGGGAACAATTGTAACAGCTTTTCTGAACTATAAAGAGTGGCAGGTCCATGTTATAAAAACTGTGTAGTTATTGCCCATTCTTATTTCTTAGCCAAGGGCCCACATCTGCCCAATGAGGGTGTTAGCTGTTGGCTAAGTTTGAATTACAGTATGATTATCTTGTAGGGTAGGATCATCTGGTATTCATACATGGTAAATATGTTTTCAGTTGCTGCATCGCTCAGTTTTCTTTGGCTTGCACACAGGAATGATTGGCAGCAGTGCTTCTCGGCCTACTATGCCATCTGGAGAATGGGCACCACAGAGTTCCGCTGTGAGAGTCACCTGTGCAGCTACCACTAGTGCCATGAACCGGCCAGTCCAAGGAGGTATGATTCGGAACCCAGCAGCCAGCATCCCCATGAGGCCCAGCAGCCAGCCTGGCCAAAGACAGACACTTCAGTCTCAGGTCATGAATATAGGTAAGGTGGCTCCAGTGCTCTTTGCTTTTAACGTTTATGCTCTCTTAGAAAGGAGTATCAGCTCAGTAAACTAAAGACATGCTTCTTATGTGCAGTTTAAATAATCCTCCCATGTAAAGCTGCTAAGTGGGATTTTGCTGGAACTCTGTATAGAATCAGAATCTCAAAGATTCTCCAGTCGTATAAGAGAACCAACTGCCTTTGAGATGTTTTATTTTTGTTACCTAATTTCAACTTTAGGGGAGAAGTGAATTATAACGTCACACTATTAATAAAGAAATAGGCTGGATGTGGTGGCTCATGCCTGGAATCCCAGCACTTTGGGAGAATCACTTAAGGTCAGGTGTTCGAGACCAGCCTGGCCAACATGGTGAAACCCCATCTCTACTAAAAATATAAAAATTAGCCAGGCATGGTGGCATGCGCCTGTAATCCCAGCTACTCAGGAGGCTGAGGCAGGAGAATACTTGAACCTGGGAGGCGGCAGTTGCAGTGAGCCGAGATGGCGCAACTGCACTCCAGCCTAGGCAACAGAGCAAGACTTATAGATGGATGGATGGATAGATAGATAGATAGATAGATAGATAGATAGATAGATAGTTCGGTGGTACAGCAGTATTTCTAACTCTGTGTGATCACTGGAACAATATCTGGAACTTAAAATTCAGATTCCTGGGCCACCACCTAGACTACCAAATCAGACTCTCCCAGGCCCTCACTGAAGGTTGCAGGGTCTTACAGAACATCTCACAGAATGTGAAGATTACTAGAATTCTATTTGGAGACCGTCCACATATTATTAAAATTGATGGTCTGATATGTCCTATGGTATCATTTATATGAAATGTCCAGCATGAGCAAATCTGTAGAGACAGAAAGTAGAGTAGTGGTTACCTAGAGCCAGGGGTTGCAGCAGGGGAGATGCTCAGGCGGGAAGTAGGGAGTGACTCCTAATGAGTAATGGCTTTCTTTTTGGGGGAATGAAAGTTTTCTGAAGTTGATTGTGGTGATGGTTGTGTAACTCTGAATATACTACAATTCATTGTACACTTTAAATTGGTGACTTGTATGTTATATGAATTATCTCAGTAAAACTGTTATATTTTAAAAATTAATGGTCTGTAAAACTCATACTTGAGATTATTTACTTTATCATTGACATGTTAGCCTTCCTCTTGTACATTAGCATAATTCCAATAAGTTGATGTTTATGTTCTTTTCATGTACTTGTACAATGAGAAAGAGCTATTTTTCGTTCACAAAAAGATCGGGCACTTTGGGAGGCTGAGACGGGCAGATCACCTGAGGTTGGGAGTTGGAGACCAGCCTGGCCAACATGGTGAAACCTCGTCGGTACTAAAAATACAAAAATTTGTCAGGCATGGTGGTGTGCACCTGTAATCCCAGCTACTTGGGAGGCTGAGGCAGGAGAATCGCTTGAACCCGGGAGGCAGAGGTTGCAATGAGCTGTGATCACGACACTGCACTCCAGCCTGGGCAACAGGGCGAGACTACGTCTCAAAAAAAAAAAAAAAAGATGCTGGGGTTGTTTTGACAAGAAAACGCAGAATTTTCATCCTAACTTGGCATTAGTTTTCTTACCTATTTAATTGTTATTTCAGGCCGGGCGCTGTGGCTCACGCCTGTAATCCCAGCTCTTAGGGAGGCAGAGGCGGGAGGATAGCTTAAGCCCAGGAGTTCGAGACCTGCCTGGGCAATATAGCGAGACCCCGTTCTCCACAAAAAGGAAAAAAACAAAAAGACAAAAAAAAAAAAAAAAATAATAAGCGTAATTGTTATTTCAGCTTATTGTTTCTGAGAGATGGTATTTACATTGCCTTACTACACTGAATGTACCTAGTGAGTGGTTCTCAAACATAAATTTGTATAATTTGACGGTTGCATGAAAAATGCATATAACCAATTTCCATGCAAAATTAAATGAGAAAATGTTTAATGTTTATTAATTGATTAAAAATCATAATAGTACCTTATATCTAGAAATGTAATGTATTCTCAGTCTTCACTGAAGAGCATCTGGCTCTTGAGCTTGAAATGTGGCTCTGTATGTTTTATTGTATAGCTGAGTTTCTCTAATTTTTAATAAACTCCAAAAAGCCATGAATTCAATAGAAAATTATCTGTTAGAATGGAATACAGGTCTACAGATAATGATGATAATATAATTTTTAAAAGCTCATCTCATCCATTAGCTTTAAAGCCTTTCGGAGAACTTCTGAGGAAGAGTGTGTGTGGGTTGTCTGGGCCTCCTTTCTGCTCTGCTCATGCTCTGGTAGGGAGCCAGCTGAAGTACAGTTAGTGTGCGTTCAGTAGCCAACAGTCTGGACATGCTTCCTCAAAACTTGGTCCAGCCCCCTGACTCCCAGTCAGGGAGTCTGCAAGGCCAAAACTATTTTCATAATAATCCCAAAACACTGTTTCCTTCTTTACTCTTACTATCGCCCAGGTAGTTTTCCAGAAATTTTAGATGCTATGTGATATCACAGCAGATGAAATGTGAAAACAGAAGATTTCACTCTGTTCCATTAACCCAGGCATTAAAGCTATTTGCAGAAATGTAAAACAATGCCAATAAAAGAATTTTTTAAATGTTGCATTCAAAAATCATATTCATTCCACTCACTTGTATCTAGAAAAAAATTTATATTAACATATAATTTATTATGATTTTTAAATGAATCTATACTTTTTTTGTATTTCTCAGTTTCCAATACAGTAAGTATTGTAATATCAGTAAAAAAGTAAGTAATATCAGTAGGATGTAACCCACATGAACAAAAACTTTTTGAGTATTGAGAGTCTTAAATGCTAAAGGTTTAGAATGGTTTGTCTAGATAGTCTCTGAAATGGGTAATTCACCTTCATATTTATTGCCTTTACTTCTATTCAGGACCAGAATTTTATCTTCTTATTTTCACCTAGTTAATTATTGTTGCTTCTGTCTTTTCCATTTTTCATAAACCAGACGTTTCACTTTAAATTACATAGCACAATTAGATGCTCCCTTGATTAAAGATGTAAGTTTTTTTCTTCTCCCTTTCTAGGGCCATCTGAACTAGAGATGAACATGGGGGGACCTCAGTATAGTCAACAACAAGCTCCTCCAAATCAGACTGCCCCGTGGCCTGAAAGCATCCTGCCTATAGACCAGGCGTCTTTTGCCAGCCAGAACAGGTGAGTCCTGAGCACCTAGGGTGGCCAGCTATTTTATACATGTCCAGAAGTTGATCTTTTCCTTTCGAATAGTCAGTGCCTGACCAGTTTTGGTTTATTCGGACTGTATCATCTACTAGGCAGGGCATGAAGGGAAAGGGTGAATCCAGAAATCAGTATGACCTAGGACGTGCCTTTAAAGAAGTTACAATTTAGTTGAAAAAATGTATGCTGATAACTGTAATTTGAGGTAGTATGTGGTATGAAAACCACAAGACAAATAAGCCAAGTTTCAGAAAAACATCCAACCAGGATGCTTGGAGAAGACTTCAAAGTCTTGAAGAAGTAGTCTGATTTCAGACGGCAGAGATGACAGGGAGCCAGTCCCGCTGGTAAAAGCTGCACATCAGAGGCCCAGAGTAAGGACTGCTGTGAGTAGAACTGAGGCAGTGGATAACAGAGGAAGAGTCTCAGGCAGGCAGTTTGGCTCATCCCAAACTGGCTGCCAAGGGCAGAGGGAGGTGCTGTGTACTGGGTAGACAGGGAAGCGCACCCCAGCTAGATAGCCACTGCTGTCGCATCTGGAGCTGCTGTTGTACTTGGAGTTGGTGGTTTCTCACAGTCAGTCTTGCTCTTTGATTCTGATTTCATGATGTCCGTGAATGGTAGGCTATTTCTAGATATGTTTATTTGATATGTTAGAAACCCACCCATTTCCATGAAAATTTGGGACACAGGTTTAACACAGGACAATGTATAATAATTAAATCTACCACCTGATAGTCATTTTTGGATGAAATGTTAAAGATTAGTTTTTAGGAAGAACTAGGCCCAAAATTAGGATTTTTAGTGTTACCCAAACAGGAGGAGAGTTCTGTTAAAACAAAAATGGAAGGAAGTCCAGAGTTATACTTGGTTCAGTAATAGAGTAAGCGTGTTAAGTTTGCTGTACGAGTCTCGGTGACTCAGCACTGCCCTAACATGTTGTTGTTTCTGTTACTGTCAATTAGGTATTTTTGCATATGCACCGTGTGGACAAAACAAAACATTTTCATCACCTTTAAAGTTATGTCAGTTTTTCTAACCACTCTCAGATTTTTTATTTTAAATAATTCAATGTGGAAGAAACTTAGGACCAGCTTTATGGTAATCTTATTGTCATAGAAATTCAGAAGTAGTGGATAATAAAGATTCTAACTATGTCTCTCTTTTGAAATAAAAGAGCAGTGCTTTTTTAAAATCCCCTTTATAAGTATTACAGTTGATATTTAGGAACAGGTTTATTTGTTTTTGTTTCTGTTTTTGTTTTTTGAAGCAGAGTCTCGTTCTTTCACCCAGGCTGGAATGAAGTGGCACGATCTCAGCTCACTGCAACCTCCACCCGCCGGGTTCAAGTGATTCTTCTGCCTCAGCCTCCCGAGTAGTTGGAATTACAGGCACATGCCACCATGCCCGGCTAATTTTTTATTTTTAGTAGAGATGGGGTTTCACCATGTTGGCTAGGCTGGTCTTGAACTCAGGTGATCCGCCCACCTCAGCCTCCCAAAATGCTGGGATTACAGGCATGAGCCATCACGCCCGGCCTGGAACAGGTGTTTTAGTTTATCTGTACATTTCAAAAAGACAGTAGTTTAGCACTTAAATCTGTAACATCACATGTTCCTTTATTTATAACTAATTTCCACTTTTAGTTCCATTATAGGTTTTTTTTTCCTTCAGTCATCTGGTATATAGAAGAGAGCTTTATAGTATGGCCAAAAATTATAGATTACTTTTAGATTTCTGTTGGTTTTATTAAAGGAATTTTTTTCTTGAAATACAGTAGCTGCCTTTCATGAAAGACTTCCTTGGCCAGGCGCAGTAGCTCATACCTGTAATCCCAGCACTTTGGGAGGCTGAGGTGGGCAGATCACGAGGTCAGGAGATCAAGAACATCTTGGCCAACATGGTAAAACCCCATCTCTACTAAAAATACAAAAATTAGTCGAGCTTGGTGGAGCTTACCTGTAGTCCCAGCTATTCTGGAGGCTGAGGCAGGAGAATCGCTTGAACCTGGGAGGTGGAGGTTGCAGTGCACCGAGATCACGCCACTGCACTCCAGCTGGGCGGCAAGAGCAAAACTCCATCTCCCAAAAAAAAAAAAAAAAAAGAAGACTTCCTTTTGCACTAAGTTCACAATTTTGGATATTTTTGTTTTGAGACAGTGTCTCACTTTGTCACCGAGGCTGGAGTGCAGTGGCATGATCTCCGCTCACTGCAACCTCCACCTCCCAGGTTCAAGTGATTCTTCTGTCTTAACCTCCCAAGTAGCTGAAATTACAGGCACCCACCACCACGTCCGGCTAATTTTTTAATTTATAGTAGAGACAGGGTTTCACTGTATTGGCCACGCTGGTCTCAAACTCCTGACCTAAAGTTATCCACCTGTCTCAGCCTCCCAAAGTGCTGGTATTACAGGCTTGAGCCACTGTGCCCCACCTAAGATCACAATTTTAATTTGATTTTCTCCTGTTTGAAATGTATCTCTAAGAGTAAGGTTTCTTTTGTTGACTATTTCTCATCATTCAGTAGCTGCTACTTTTTTGCAGAATTTTGAAAATGCTTTTGAAAAGTGAAGAAATGGTAATGTCGTTTCTCAAACAAGTGCTGAGAGTTTTACCTAATTCTCCTTCTTCTTCCCATACTTAATGACTTCTAGTTCATAAACATGTAGACTTTAAGGTATGGGATTTCTATTGATTGTGGATCTTTCTCTGCTTGTTTATTACCTACTATTTTGCACTAGCCTGGGGCCTTTGTATGTTTTTCCCTTTATTACTCTGAATTCCACTTTTGTTTTAATATTATATTTATCTGTCAGATGCTCTCTCGGTTGTAACTATATGTGTAATTGCCCAAAATATAGGAAAATAATTTCTTCTTTGTGTTAGTGGCCAGTTGGGGTTGGGAGTCTGGATTGGTATTATTTTGTTAGCAAGCATATTATGACATCTCTAAGGGAAGTGATGTCATTCATGATATGCCCAAATTTATAACACCAAACTACAAGGCAGTGTAGTTTTCTGAATATAAAAGTAGTTTTTAATGTATTGTAGCTCAGCCAAATTAGGAACCTTTTGTTTTCATCCACTAGAAATTTAGTGCACCTATGCTGTGTTTATGTTCCAGCACTGGGCCACAAACAAGTAGAGGATGCAATGCTTACCCCTTGTGAGCATGGTGTGAAGTTGGCATTTTTTTTAAAAATTGTATTTTAAGCTCTGGGGTACATGTGCAGATCTTGCAGGATTGTTGCATAGGTATACACATGCCATGGTGCTTTCTACCTCCATCCACCCATCACCTACATTAGGTATTTCTCCTAATGTTATCCCTCCCCAATTTCCCACCCCCTGTTGTCCCTCCCCAAACCCCCCACTCCCCAGTATAACCCTGTATGTGATGTTCCCCTCCCTGTGTCCATGTGTTCTCATTGTTCAACACCCCCTATAAGTAAGAATATGCAGTGTTTGGTTTTCTGTTCTTGTGTCAGTTTGCTGAGAATGATGGTTTCCAGATTCATCCATGTCCCTGCAAAGGACACGAACTCATTGTTTTTTATGGCTGCATAGTATTCCATGGTGTATATGTGCCACATTTTCTTTGTCCAGTCTATCATTGATGGGCATTTGGGTTGGTTCCAGGTCTTTGCTATTGTAAACACTGCTACAATGAACATACGTGCACATGTGTCTTTATAAATTGTTAGTTTCAATTCACCATAGCTCAATAGGTGATTTAAGGCTGAGAGGAAAGTGGGGTGCTCTGTGAGGAGATAGGTGGTGCCCCGATGTAAAGTAGATCCTCAGCTGGAGAAGAGCTTGGGAAGGTTCGGATAAATATCAAGGTCTTGGTTTTCTGGTGATGTGTGTAGTGTCTTTGGAGACAGATCAGCTGCCCATGGTGGCTGAGGCTCACAGGGAAGGCGTGAGCATTAAGTTTGGGAAGGTTAGGCATTATCAAAGCCATGTGTCCTTGAATTCCACCACCACTGCCATCCTATGCCAGGGGTGTTTTCCTGGGAGAGCTGAAGAACAACGTAGGAATTCGAAGTAGGGCCCTTGTGTTCAGTAAAGTGTGCTTTGGGAGTGGGAACCTGAGAGCATCATACTAGAGTCGTAGATAGCGTGCAAGCTGGGAAGTTGTTGGGAAAGCGTCCTGAGAGTCCCAGCTTGAGTTGAAGAGGGCTTGGACCAAAGTGGGATGGCCTGGAAGCACGGTTTTACTTTTTAATCTCTGAATTCATTTGTATTTTTTTTAATTAGAAAAAAAAAGCTTATAACAAAAAGTGATTTTATTATGTAGGAAATTGTTTAAATGCCAGTGATTGTTTTAGTTGTTTGTTATTAAGCAGTTGGCTGTGTTGCTGGTCTGTCAAGGTGGAGTGGTCTTACAAAGGCACGAGGCAGTGCCTGCCTCCTCTGACAGTGCGTTTCCCGAGATGTGCAGCCTTGCATGCATTAGATTTCACCCAGGCCTGCCATCAGTGAATAAATCTGAAATGGGAGGGTTGCCTATGAATGCAGCTTCCAAAAAAACAAGTTGAAAATGACAAAATCTAGGCAAAGAAAATCCTTGAATGCCAACTTAACCAGCCTTTTTAGGGAGTGAGTCGCTGCCTAAGAGAATTTGATAAATAGCTGACATTACTCTTGACTGACTTGAACTCTTTCATGGAACTCTTGCCACATCCATGTTTGTTGGTCCCTCCTCATTGAGGAATCTCCTCTCTTCGCTTCCGTCGCAGATAGTTCAGTGGTTTCTCCCTCTCCTGCTTTTCTGCATCTGCTTCTTCCTCCCCCTCCCTGAGTGTAGCAGTAGTAGAGCAGTCTGATCATATTTGGATTTAAAGAAGGTTCTAGGAGAGTGTGGACTGTGGAGAAGGAGAGTGTGGACTGTGGAGTAGAAGCAAGAGCAAGGAGCCAGCAAGCCCCCTAGCATATGTGACTTGGTGAAGCCCAGTAGTGACAAGGAAGGGGCAGGAGTGAGAAGAGCACCTGCTCTCAGAGGTCTCAGTGGGTCCCTTAGAAACACAAGGAGCTCCTGCAGCCAGGGAGTTGGGGAAGCAGGTGAGGAGTGGCCTCAAGGGACCCTCAGGTGGACAGTTTCCAAGTTACTAGAGGTGAGTGGAGAGCATAGGTTGTTATTAATGCATTCCTTTATGGCCATTTGAAATTAATTGTTAGTTTCAGTGCTGGCGCTTCAGTGTTTCAGGATTATAGGCCAAAATAGCCTATTAGAGCATTTAAAAACCACATGGCGTACTGAACTGTGTTAATAGGTAACTTCAGTTCTTGACGAGTTTATTCTCACTTGCTTAAGAATAAGTTTGCTAATCTATAAACTTTTTGTTTTTTAATCTATAAACATTTATTTTCTCCAAAACATCATACCGTGACTCTAAGAGGACAAAATAGACTTTTGGTAAAGTACAAATATCATTTCTCTTTTAGTATTCAGGCAACTCAGGAGCTCTTTTTTTAAATCCTCCTCTAGTCTAGATGTGGTGGCTCATGCCTTTTATCCCAGCACTTGGTAGGCCAAGGTGGAAGGATTGCTGGAGACCAGGAGTTCGAGACCAGCCTGGACAATATAACAAGACCCTGTCTCTACAAAAAAATTTACAAAAATTAGCCAGGTGTGGTGGCACACATCACATCTGTAGTCCCAGCTACTCAGGAGGCCGAGGTAGAAGGATTTCTTTAGCTTAGGAGTTTAAGGATGTAGTGTGCAGTGATTGTGCCTGTGAAAAGCTACTGCACTTCAGCCTGGGCAACATACTGAAACCTGTCTTTATAAAAAAAAAAAAAAAAAAAAAAATTAGCAGCCAGGTGTGGTGGCACACACCTATCCTAGCTACTCAGGAGGGTGAGGCCAGAGGATCACTTTAGCCCAGTGAACCATGATGGCACTGCTACACACACACACACACACACACACACACACACACACACACACACACACACACACACAGAGAGAGAGAGAGAGAGAGAGTGAGAGACACAAACACAGCTCCTCTACTCTAATTTAAAAGTTAAATGTATAGGAGTTTTATGTACCATGGAATCTGGAGTTTGGTATTCTGATTTTATCATCAATTATTTAATAACAAATATAATTTGCATGTTCACGATTCACATTCCTTGTGTACCTAATGCAGAAATGCTAACAGATTCACTTCTTTTTTTTTTTTTTTTTTTTTCTGAACAGAGTTTCGCTCTTGTTACCCAGGCTGGAGTGCAATGGCGCGATCTCGGCTCACCGCAACCTCCGCCTCCTGGGTTCAGGCAATTCTCCTGCCTCAGCCTCCTGAGTAGCTGGGATTACAGGCACGCGCCACCATGCCCAGCTGATTTTTTGTAGTTTTAGTAGAGATGGGGTTTCACCGTGTTGACCAGGATGGTCTCGATCTCTTGACCTCGTGATCCACCCGCCTTGGCCTCCCAAAGTGCTGGGATTACAGGCATGAGCCACTGCGCCCGGCCCAGATTCACTTCTTGAGGGCTTTAATAAATGTTTTCAGGCCAGGTATGGTAACTCACTCCTGTTATCCCAGCACTTAGGGAGACTGAAGTGGGTGAATCATTTGACCTCGAGTTCGAGGCCAGCCTGGGCAACATAGTGAAACCCTACCTCTACAAAAAATTGGCCGGGCATGGTGGTGCATGCCTATAGTCCTAGCTACTTGGGATGCTGAGGTGGGAGGGTCACCTAAGCCCACGAGGTTGAGACTGCAGTGAGCCGTGATCACACCACTGTATGTTAGCCTGGGCAATGGAGTAAGACCCTGTCTCAGAGAAAAATAAATGTTTTCAAGGCCTGTTCGCGCATGACTAAGACATTTCCTAACAGCCCAGCCAAATTTAATCTAGCTGCAGCTGAGTTCAGGAAAATTAATGCAGCTCTGATGCCTCTAGTTCTCTCGTCTCTCCCAGGTGGGCCATCATAGCCTCCTATAGAATAAGAATCTTAAGTCAATCAGTGATTCCTACTAAAGTGTAAAAAAGTCCTTGCCGGGCGCGGTGGCTCACGCCTGTAATCCCAGCACTTTGGGAGGCCGAGGCGGGTAGATCACGAGGTCAAGAGATCGAGACCATCCTGGTCAACATAGTGAAACCCCGTCTCTACTAAAAATACAAAAAATGAGCTGGGCATGGTGGCGCATGCCTGTAATCCCAGCTACTCAGGAGGCTGAGGCAGGAGAATTGCCTGAACCCAGGAGGCGGAGGTTGCGGTGAGCCAAGATCGCGCCATTGCACTCCAGCCTGGGCAACAAGAGCGAAACTCCGTCTCAAAAAAAAAGAAAAAAGAAAAGTCCTTGCGTTCCTTCAATTTATATGCTTGAGTAGTGGGCATAGTTTGGTAGGCCCTGGACTCACACAGATCCATGTGGAGCCCCAGCTCTGTGGTGTCTACCTCCAGCCAGTGGCTTAACCTTGCCTCACTGAGCCTCAGCTTTGCCAGCCGTGAAGTGGGACCAATGGAAATAAAAAGCATACCTTAGATACCTAGATTTGCGTCTGGCCTGCATTGGGCACTGAATAAAGTGTATTGAATATTTCGGACTGTCGTTTTATTCTGTGTTGGGTTGGTACAGTAGTTTGTTGCAAAGACCCTGGAAGTCAATTGATACTTTCACCTTTGAGATAAAAAAAAATTGTTCTCTAATCAACTAGCTTTTCCATTGGCCCAAGGTGACATTTCTCTCTTTACAGGCAGCCGTTCGGCAGTTCTCCAGATGACTTGCTGTGTCCACATCCTGCAGCTGAGTCTCCGAATGATGAGGGAGCTCTCCTGGACCAGCTCTATCTAGCCTTGCGGAATTTTGATGGCCTGGAGGAGATTGATAGAGCCTTGGGAATACCAGAACTGGTCAGCCAGGTATGCACAGAAGGGTAGCACATGGGGGCCAAGCGCTCTCATGGGTGCAAAGGTGTCTATTGTCTGTTTACGGTCTGCTTTTTAGAGTATACTGGTTTTTACCTCATAACAGGCCGGGCTTGTTTCTTCCTTGCCTTTCCTTGCAACCCTCACATGAACTTTGACCTGAGAATGGAGAACACTGAGAATGAGCTTTGCATATAGTTCAGGTTAGCAGAAAGACACAAACCCAAGACCAGCTCACCTGGTGTCCGCCCTTGCTGATAGGGAGGGACACACAAGATACAGAGAAACCACAGAACACTTCCCCATGGAAGTCGGTATGAGTGTCTGTAGTCATGACCACTGTATTCATTTTGCATCTGTGGGCTGGTGATAGGAAGCTGTTTGTGCTAAAAGAATACTTTCCACATAAGTTAACAGAAGTCATTTTACAGGTAGCTGCAGCTTTTTCATCATTTTTACCTTTAAAAATGTTGGGCTATCCTGAAAATGGAAGAGAGCAAAAGAAAAAGGAAAAGAAAATGGTGGGCTAAATCTTTAAATTATGGTTTAGTTCACCATGATTTTGGGGATATTTAAGCAAAATGGGAATATTAAAAAGTTAACTAATCTTAGTGAGCTTATTTAGCCTTCTTCTAGGTAATTAGTTGGTTACTATAAAAAAGTAAGTCCCTGCTTTGAGAGTACCTGACAGCAGTGGTAGAATAAATAACCTAACATAGTGCCTTGAAAGAACAGAACACTATCTGAACCTGGCTGCACAGCTACCTTTGTGTGAAGCAGTGCAGCCTGGCTCACTGTGTGAAGAGTAACCCAGAAGAACCATCGTGTTCTCGTTACTGTTTACCTCTTTACTTAGCATGAATCATCTTTTATTCTTACTGCCAAAAAGTATCTGCCAGAGTCCCGTCCACTTCCTGGCCATATGATGTGTCATCATCTTTCTGAGAGAAAGGTGATGCAGAGTCATTGGAGACTTCTCTGAAACATTAAAATTAGTCTTCTTATAATTCCCACAGTTGAGCAGACACAGGTAGGAGTTAGGACTTACCAATTCATATTGAAAACAGCAGAATGGAAAGAAATGACTTAAGGTTACGTGATATAACCTGAAATAAACTAAGAAAGGGAAATGGAGTTTAAATATTTCCTGTGTGACTGGTTTGCTTTGTCTTCAGTGATAGGTAGAATTAAGCATTCAATACTATTTTATCCTTGAGTCTGTCTAACTGACATTTAAAAATGTCATCCGTGGAGCTGCCGAGTGACTTGTAACATTATCAAAACAGGTGTCACGTCATTTAATATTTTTAGTCTGTTTTTTACTCACTTCTGTTACTTCTATTTTGTGTCATCAAATCCGCTATCATTATAATATTGTCATGAAACTGAATTTTAGAAATATGATTATTAGGTAGAGTTGAGGGAAGTATAGAGTACACATTATTCATATTCATGTTAAAGTGCTGAGATTGTTTTGTGTGTGTAGTTAGAGCAGTAATTCAGCAGTGAATGATGTCCTTTGCTTAGGCTCCCCTTGTTTAGAATTACCACGGGGAGGGCAGTGGGCCCCTGGCTCTCACAGGCTGGCCATTGGGTTGTGCTGATCAGAGCTCAGGGCTCCAGGTGGCTCCAGCACTACATGGATAGACTGTTTTCAAGAAGGCTTAGGACAACACTGGGCTAAAGAAAACATGAGAGATTTTATTTGTTGCTAGAGTCTTTCCTTCCTTTATACCATTAGGTTTGTAGCAATTACTCCTAGAAGTAGAAGGAAGAGGAGAATCAGCCAAGTCCACCTTTCCCCTCAGCACATAGACATTCAGGGCGATTCTGAGGTCTTCCAGACCCCGGGGAAGTTGCGGGTTTGTTCACCTGCCCCATTCTGACCCAGATAGATAGGCTAGCCCTAAGAAGTCAGGAGAGACAGACACATAAACCATGTCTAGTAGGTGGTGAGAGGATGATGGCAAAATGTGGGGCATGTAGGGAATCCTGACAGCCACAGAAAATGGTAAAGTAGATAATAGGCAGCACATCACATTGGTGAGGAGCTCAGCTCCCAAATCACAAGCTGAATTGGACCCCACCATGTACTGGCTGGACAGGGCTTGTTGCAATTCACTTCATGTCCTTAAATCTCATTTTTTTAGCCACAAAATCAGGATAATGATGGTCACACCACTGATCCCAGCTAGGTACTGAAGAGGTTATCTAATTAAAATTAACCCTATGGGTAGGAATAATCAAAAAACTTAACACTTCCAGGGGATATTTACATCTGAAAGGCCAGGCCAATCTGATCGGTGGAGCAGGTAGGGTGCATTCTGTAGTCCTGGCTCATTTCTCCCGTTTTCTTGGAAGAAGTACTGCTGGGAGTCCAGTTTGACCCCTGCTCTGTCCTAGTGTAGCCGAAACTATGGGCAGAGGCATTTTCTAGAAAGAAAAATGGAGTCAAGCTAAAGGTACCTTTGTGTAGTAAGTATAATATTATAAAGTATAAAAAGCTTCAAATGTATGACAGCGAGAGAAAACAGGCTCATACTAACTGCTTTTTTTATGGTTTAATTTATTTGTTTGTTATTTGGGGCTTCCTCTCCAGAGCCAAGCAGTAGATCCAGAACAGTTCTCAAGTCAGGATTCCAACATCATGCTGGAGCAGAAGGGCCCTGTTTTCCCCCAGCAGTATGCATCTCAGGCACAGATGGCCCAGGGTAGCTATTCTCCCATGCAAGATCCAAACTTTCACACCATGGGACAGCGGCCCAGTTACGCCACACTCCGTATGCAGCCCAGACCCGGCCTCAGGCCCACGGGCCTAGTGCAGAACCAGCCAAATCAACTGAGACTTCAACTTCAGCATCGCCTCCAAGCACAGCAGGTCTGTTCTTTGATGGCACCTGGGAAGTCGGGGTGCTGGGTGGAGGACGTGAGGAAGAGATGGCGCAGCTGTCCAATAACATGCAGATAGTAGGTTGAGGAGGGCAGTTACTTGGAAAGGTGATTTAAAGTAAAATGTATTCTGTTTTTAAAATGTATTTATCCTGTTTGTATGTATTTAGAATCGCCAGCCACTTATGAATCAAATCAGCAATGTTTCCAATGTGAACTTGACTCTGAGACCTGGAGTACCAACACAGGTAAGGCAGCACGCCACCCATCAGCTTTCGTTAGTATTCAAAGTATCCCCGCAGCTACTTTTGTCATTTCCACCTCTCTGAAGAAAGGCAACGTAGTAGACGTGGATCCAGATCAGCACACTGGCCCTGTACCATCACCCAGTTACCTGTCTGGTATGTTACATTTTTCCCTTTGAATCACTGCCATTTTTATTGCCAGGTACAGTCAATTTTTGTTATTTTAAGGAGTTCAAACACTGAATTAGAGAACGCTAACCCCTAGGAGAAATACACGGTTGGGTTCCTGCAAGTTTCTGGTCACAACATTGTCATCATCCAGTCAACACATAAGCTTGTTTTATGTGCGTTTCTTTTAAAGAAGTCACTGTAATTCAGGCCTGAATGGCACTTAACCTAGCATACCTACTTTCTGCAGAAGGCACCTCACCAGCCCCTGCACTTAGGGACACTAGAGAGCACTGCAGCAGCATGTCTGGGAACCAGTTGAAGCAGCAAAATCACCAACAGGAGAAGCAAAAAATCCAAAAATCTTGGAACCAAATAGACCACAAAGAGGACACTTGTTTACAGTATGAGAGCTGAAACCAGAAGGCAAAGTGTTGCCTTGTTCAGCCTCAGCTGGAAGTAATGCACATTGGGTATCTGAAATGTTATGCCACTGTGCTCACGCCTACAAATGACCGTTTGACAGAAGCATGAGTATTGATTTGAGGGTTACAAATAAATTTTGCTGAATAGGCAACTTCATGAATATGGAACTCACAAATGAGGATCTGCTATATCTTAGGACCCGTGAGCAGCCTCACCCCCCTCACTGACAGCAAGCACCAGGATCGCTTCCCTTCATCCATCCCGCCTTCCCTCCCTCCCTACCCTCCACCTCCACCTCAGCCTCCGTGCATTCCTGTCAGGCTCTCTCCTTCTCTCCTCCTTTCCTCCTGCCTCTTTTCAGCCTTTTCTGAAGTACACCACGTCACCTTTTGTCCCAGTGATTATATTTCTCTTTAGAATTGAATGTTCCTTGAATGAGACTAAACTGCCATCCTCCAGGTTTATATCACAGTCTTCTTATAGAAAGGACTGTGTTCTTTTGAGATCCTTTAGTTAATTTTGTCCTTACAAAATGAGTTAACTGATATTAGCATCAAACTTAACCCTGCTAAGTCATAGCAAAGCTTCAGAATAATATCTTTAGAATTCAGAAGCTCACATTCTCAATCAGCAGTTGTTCAACTCTGAGTTAATCCTTTTATGTCATTTTTTTCCAGATAATTTTACAGATGATAGTACTGTTCGCTAGCCTATCTATAATATTCACTTTGTTTTTAATGTGTTTCTGCCCCCAACATTTTCTTCCACGTATCACCCCTGACCTCAGGCACCTATTAATGCACAGATGCTGGCCCAGAGACAGAGGGAAATCCTGAACCAGCATCTTCGACAGAGACAAATGCATCAGCAACAGCAAGTTCAGCAACGAACTTTGATGATGAGAGGACAAGGGTTGAATATGACACCAAGCATGGTGGCTCCTAGTGGGATGCCGGCAACTATGAGCAACCCCCGGATTCCCCAGGCAAATGCACAGCAGTTTCCATTTCCTCCAAACTACGGTACTGGACTTACATCCCCACCACCTTTCACCAGTCCTTTCTCCCCAGTGTCCCCCAGTCCTGGGTCACAGCTCCTCTCTCACAGCTCTTTGCATGGCTCCCAGATGAATCTGGCTAACCAGGGAATGATAGGAAACCTGGGAGGACAGTTGGGGCCTGTGAGGAGTCCCCAAGTCCAGCACAGTACCTTCCAGGCTCTCAGTTCAGGTACCTCCTTTTCTCTGAGTGCAGGTCTTACTTTAAGAATGACCGAAGTAAGTGTGTATGCGTAGACCGTGTCTGTCTATCTTGTGTGCGAGCGTGTGTGGATCTGTTTATGTCAGTGTCTAAAAGTGCATATGTATTTATATATTTGAAAGCCTCTGAGTCTGACTCAAACAAATCAATAGATACAAAATGTAAAAAGATCTCTATAAATATTTAAATATTAGGCCGGGCACGGTGGCTCACGCCTGTAATCCCAGCACTTTGGGAGGCCGGGGCGGGTGGATCACGAGGTCAAGAGACTGAGACCATCCTGGTCAACATGGTGAAACCCCGTCTCTACTAAAACTACAAAAAATTAGCTGGGCATGGTGGCACGTGCCTGTAGTCCCAGCTACTCAGGAGGCTGAGGCAGAAGAATTGCTTGAACCCAGGAGGCGGAGGTTGTGATGAGCTGAGATCGCGCCATTGCACTCCAGCCTGGTAACAAGAGTGAAACTCCGTCTCCAAAAAAATAAATAAATAAATAAATAAATAGGCCGGGCGTGGTGGCTCATGCCTGTAATCCCAGCACTTTGGGAGGCCGGGGCGGGTGGATCACGAGGTCAAGAGATCGAGACCATCCTGGTCAACATGGTGAAACCCCGTCTCTACTAAAACTACAAAAAATTAGCTGGGCATGGTGGAGTGTGCCTGTAGTCCCAGCTACCCAGGAGGCTGAGGCAGGAGAATTGCCTGAACCCAGGAGGCAGAGGTTGCGGTGAGCCGAGATCGCGCCATTGTACTCCATCCAGCCTGGGTAATAAGAGCGAAACTCCGTCTCAACAAATAAATAAATAAATATTTAAATATTATAGTCACTCTGTGACTTTTGAAAAATAGAGACTTTACAGATGATACCAGATTTTTAATGAATAGATAATTCTTGAGAAGTACTGTATAAAAACCACAATGGGAGACCTCTTAGTTCTCTTCATATTGATTTGTTATTTAATGTCAGTCTTAAGAGATACCGAGTATGTAATGTCATGAACATTAATATTTGTGTGCATGTCATGTTCAGTTAATGGTTGAATTATTGATAAGTGCCTACATTTTTAATGTTAATAATCAAAATGACTTTCCCTACCCTTTGCCAGTTATCTATAAATCACTATGGAAGTCTGTTGCCGAAATCCAAGTCTCTTGTTTCTTTAAAGAACAGAAAGATAATGTGCAGTTCTTTCCTGTATGATCTTAAGCCTTTCTTTTGTAGCTAATTTAAATATTAATTAAATATGCATTTACAAGTCTTCTATGCAAAAATGTACTTAATGTCATTCTCAAAATACTCTAAGAAGTTGCCTTCTTTGTTTCCCAGCTCCTTTCTCTATTCCCTTCTTGATGATTTAGAAAAGTCTACTAAAAGTTCTCTTTCCTTTTAAATTGTTTGCCCTGAAACTGAACAAGAAGCATACATTGAACTTTTTTCTTATTCTTGCTAATTGTGAATAGCCCTGAAGTACCGCAGAGCTCTTTATAAAGACAAAACAAGCTAACCATGAGCAGAGTTACTTATTTTTAAAGATGGATTCATCTCATCATGGAATGACTTCAGCTCATTCAGTGACAAATTACTCAGATGTGTTGACTTTTGACATATAGCGGAACTTTAATCCAATTTAATTTAAACAATCTGGCCAGGCGCAATGGCTCACGCCTGTTATACCAGCACTTTGGGAGGCCAAGAATCTCTTGAACTCAGGAGTTCAGGACCAGCCTGAGCAACATAGTGAGACCTTGTCTCTACTAAAAATTTTAAAAGTTAGCTGGGCACGGTCATGCATGCCTGTAGTCCCAGCTACTCAGGAGGCTGAGGTGGGAGGATCCTTAGAGCCCAGGAGGTCAAGGCTGCAGTGAACTAGGATCATGCCACTGCACTCCAGCCTGGGCACCAGAGCAAAGACCCTATGTCAAAATAATAATAATAAACTTAATTTAAACAATAATTGCAGTGATAGTTTTGATCAAAGAGAAATATATATTTGATCCATTCTTGGTTTGGAAAGGAATTTGAAGAAAGAATAGCATTTTTTCTTTCAAACTCTAGGTATGATGGTCGGTGGTTCCTAGGCACCTTCTAACTACTAAGGGGAATCAAAGTATGGAGGTTTTTTTCTCCATATTTTATCTAAGCTTGCAAACTTTCTTAAATGTATGTAATTAATCAGTATGTAATCAGGTATTTGAAAGTAATTTTTTATGCATAATTAATTTGAAATGTTCTATTTCCCCCCAGTCTCTGCAATAAAACTTAACAGTCTCTTTTGGATTTCTGGTTTTGTTTTGTTTTTTTTTTTTTTAAGGAATAAGTCAGCAACCTGATCCAGGCTTTACTGGGGCTACAACTCCCCAGAGCCCACTTATGTCACCCCGAATGGCACATACACAGAGTCCGTTGATGCAGCAGTCTCAGGCCAACCCAGCCTATCAGGCCCCCTCCGACATGAATGGATGGGCACAGGGGAACATGGGCGGAAACAGGTAACACCATGTTTCTGTGTGTTGTTGAGATAAATGATCACCAGTAAAACCTTCTATAGCCTACATGTCTCCTTCCTTTTTTATTTTTTCCCCAAGTCTTTGCTCACAGAAGCAATATCAAGCAAACCTCTAAATAAGCCAGTTTACTTTTCCTAGAGCAGGAGTCACTAGAATTTACAAAAGCTTAGAAAGAACATCCTTTGGAGGAACAGAAACATCTCTAAGAAGGTTCCGCCAACCAATTTATGATAGAAATTGCTGTGGAAAGGGTGACCTAGAAGCCATCCTTTATCACCACATTTGATAAAAACAAACATGAGGTCCTCGGATGCAGGCATGGAAGTGAGGGATGTCCTTCAGCTGTCACAGTGGCGGTATGAAAAGAAGAAGGATTTGCTTGCCCCCACCGCTTCATTGAGTGCCTGTTCCCCTGCTGTCTCAGGCCTCAGCAAGCCCACCACCTGCTGGCCATCTCAGCCTGGGATCATGCAGTTCAGATTTATTCACTCAAAGTAAATGCCTGAGAAACAAGTGCTCTGAACTGCCTGCCTCTGGATAGCAGCAAGCTGTAATATTCATTCAATCTTTCCATTGTGTTCCAGCATGTTTTCCCAGCAGTCCCCACCACACTTTGGGCAGCAAGCAAACACCAGCATGTACAGTAACAATATGAACATCAATGTGTCCATGGCGACCAACACAGGTGGCATGAGCAGCATGAACCAGATGACAGGACAGATCAGCATGACCTCAGTGACCTCCGTGCCTACATCGGGGCTGTCCTCCATGGGTCCCGAGCAGGTGAGCGCCCAAAGGAGCAGTAGCCCAGTGGCTTCAGATCATGGCTTTTTGTCTGCTTCTGCATCTTTCCATGTATCTTTCCATGTACCTTTCCATGTAAATCTATCCATGGAAATGTATCTTTCCATGTACCTAACCTTAGCCACCAACTCCCACATTTATTTTTTATTTTTTTATTTTATTTTATTTATTTTTTTTTTTTGAGACAGAGTTTCACTCTTGTTACCCAGGCTGGAGTGCAATGGCGCGATCTCGGCTCACCGCAACCTTCACCTCCTGGGTTCAGGCAATTCTCCTGCCTCAACCTCCTGAGTAGCTGAGATTACAGGCACGCGCCACCATGCCCAGCTAATGTTTTGTATTTTTAGTAGAGACGGGGTTTCACCATGTTGACCAGGATGGTCTCGATCTCTTGACCTCGTGATCCACCCGCCTTGGCCTCCCAAAGTGCTGGGATTACAGGCTTGAGCCACCGCGCCCGGCCTTCCACATTTATTTTGAAGAGTGTTTTTCACCTTACTTTCACCTGTGTTAGTGACAATGATACAAATCCTTGTTGATGATTAAATTAACAGAAAGGTTTCCTGACTGCTGGAGAAGCTTTTAAAATATTTTTCTTTTAAAGACAGACTCTTGCTCTGTCGCTAGGTGCCAGGCTAGAGTGCAGTGGCATGATCTCGGCTCACTGCATCCTCTGCCTCCCAGGTTCAAGCAATTCTCCTGCCTCAGCCTCCCAAGTAGCTGGGACTACAGGCATGCACCACCACAACCAGCTAATTTTCGTATTTTAGTAGAGATGGGGTTTCACCATGTTGGCCAGGATGGTCTCAATCTCTTGACCTTGTGATCTGCCCACCTCAGCCTCCCAAAGTGCTGGTATAACAGGTGTGAGCCACTGAGCCCGGCCTAAAATATTTCTTAACTTTCTCATCATTGACATTTTTCTCTTGTTTGAGGGATTCACCAGTATCTAAAATGAATCTCTAAAAATGAAGTGATGAGTGTACTTTTAAAATAGCTTTATTTGAGCTGGGCATGGTGGCTTACGCCTTTAATCCCAGCACTTTGGGAAGCTGAGGTGGGTGGATCACCTGAGGTTGGGAGTTGGAGACCAGCCTGACCAACATGGAGTAACCTTATCTCTACTAAAAATACAAAATTAGCCGGGCATGGTGGCACACGCCTGTAATGCCAGCTACTCAGGAGGCTGAGGCAGGAGAATTGCTTGAACCCAGGAGGCGGAGGTTGCAGTGAGCCGAGATTGTGCCATTGTGCTTCAGCCTGGGCAAGAAGAACAAAACTTCGCCTCGGAAAAAAAAAAAAAAAAACACCTTTATAAGGGGGTTATCATTTTGGGTGTTCTTGTTTTTTGAGACAGAGTCTTACCACCCAGGCTGGAGTGCAGTGGCACTGTCTTGGCTCACTGCAACCTCTGTCTCCCGGCTCAAGCAGTCCTCCTACCTCAGCCTCCTGAGTAGCTTGGATTATAGGCATGCACCACTCTGCCTGGCTAAGGATTATAGTTCAATAATGGATTTATTTCTAAGTGTAAAACCAGATGAAAAGCAAAGGCTAACCTACCTTCCATCCAGTTAATTTGAAAGGATCCTTCATTTATGCAAAGAAACATACAATAATCTAAAAACTATTCTTTTTAATCTTTGGAACGTGAATGCAATAATTTTTTTAAATAATTGTTTGGTGTTGAAGAACATCAAAATGATTGTGCTGTTCCTAAGTGCAACCAGCTTCACTAGATGGCAGAGACTCCGAGCATTTGAGATAGCAGTAGCCAGCCTGAAATTCAGAAATGTGTTGCTGATTCAGAGCTCAAAGTAGAGGTTAATAATTGTACCATGGTATTTACAGAAGACTTCATTTTAAAAGGCCCAGAATGCTGACCATTCTACCACTGATCTCAATAGTTCACATAAGTGAAAAATGTGGCAAAGACCCTAACTCTTATTTCATATATGGAGAAAGTGCTGCATGGAAAGTGTAAATAACGTATCACTAAATCACTGACAGCACTGTGAATTTCTGTTAGAACAAAACTGTGAGAATGGTGAAAGACGAAGGGTTTGAGTAGATCTATTTAATTCCGATGTTAGTGGACCACAATTTTTGTGAAAATTTAAGAAATATAACAGAGTTTCGATGTTTTATTCTTTAAAATGACTAATAAAAATGTGAGGTGGTACAGGAGAAAATTTAAAGCCCTTTGCACTTTAAGAAGACTGTGCGCTTATAGTAATAATTTGTACTTCTGTTATTGAATTGATGGTGGCTAAATGCTTATTTGGATAAATTAAGCAGATATAAATTAAAGAAATATAGACTTTAGCCTGGCATGTTGGCTCGTACCTGTAATCCCAGCTACTCAGAAGGCTGAAGTAGGAAGATGGCTTGAGGCCAGGAATTCAAGACCAGCCTGACAACATAGTGAGACTCTGTCTCTAAAAAAAAAAAAGAAAAAAATTAATTAGCTAGTCATGGTAGCAGGTGCCTATAGTTCCAGCTACTTGGGAAATTGAGGTTGGAGGATCTATTGAGCCCAAGAGTTTGAGGCTGCAGTGAGCTGAGAATGTACCACTGCATTCCAGCCTGGGCAACAGAGCAAGACCCTATCTCTTAAAATATATATGTGTGTGTGTATAGAGAGAGATATATACGTTTATCTCTTCAATGGAGAAATGTAGGGTTGATGTTAAATTTCCTGCGAAAATGGGCTACTAGTGACTCCTGATTTGCTTGCTGAGGAAAGCATACAAAGTAAGGGCTGCTGAGGTTGTCTAGTGTAACACAATCCTGTCCCATCTGCTCAGCAATAAATTGACGCATTTTTATTTGATTTTTATTGAATTTTTAGCAATCCAGATTGTTTTGAAACTTCTGCATGATTTTAAACTGTTTGAATCCTGTGGTGAATTTGGAAGCCCCAAGACAGAACTGCAGTATATCTTCCTACAAAAATCATTATTCTATTAGCATTTGTACATTTACTTTCTAATGTGTAAAAGAAATGTACAAATGCAAATGAATATTTCATTTGGTCAGAGTAAATTCACAAAATCCAGCACTGGTTTGGGTATTTACACTTGCTCTTGATAATTAATAACTTACCTAAGTAGCAAAGATATCAGGAGCCTCTCAGATGACTTCAAAGTCCAAAATGTGAGTCATTGGTCTAATTTGAACTAGCCAAGAAAGCATTCTGGTTATGGCACGAAAATGGCTCTATTATTATGGCAACTGAATTTGATTTCTGTACAGCATTCAGATGAAGGTTAATTCTGAAGGCAGCTAGTATTTGATAAGTATTTTCACGTTCCTCTTGACTCCGCAAAATACATACATGGGAGAGCAGGTGTAAGGATGAGGCCATTGTTCTGCAGCTCCTTTTCCCCATTTTTACAACCCTAAAAACACAGAGGAAGGGCACAGCCGCATGTTTTCCAGTGCACTCTTGGACGTCCTGCTCCACATAGCCACTGTGCTGTCTTCTTGTCCTCAGGTTAATGATCCTGCTCTAAGGGGAGGCAACCTGTTCCCAAACCAGCTGCCTGGAATGGATATGATTAAGCAGGAGGGAGACACAACACGGGTAAGAGAGAACAGTGGAATACATGAATATGGGAATAAAGCAAACATGAATATTTTATAGAACAAAGCTGGCATAGATACATTGTCAACCAGTAGATTAAAGATAGTTACAAAATATTTTGTAGTTTCATTTGGCATGCAGTGCTTTTGTGTGAATGATTCTTTTTATTTATTTTTTTTTTGTCAAGCCCTCCCTAACCTCAAATGATTATTTCTTTAAGCTCAATTTAACTCAGCTGATGGTAGCATATGAATTAAGAACATTAATTTTGTTTTTTAATATCTTTATCTTTTTCCTGTAATCTCCATAGCCAACAGAAGAACAATAATTTTGCCCTGGAATGATACTATGATAGCAAAGCAAGAAATAAAGTGGCAAAAAATTAGTTGTGTTAGGGCAGACTTTTATTTTTGCTTTTTCTGAATCATAAGTCTAGATTTTTGGGAGGATAAAGAGGAATTAACTTATACTGCTCACTCCCTTAAGTCTTCCTAAGGGTTTTTATGTATTTCATTATGTTGAGGAACAATCTAGTTATTTGTATTTGCTTATTACACCTTAAACACTTGCTTTTTTTTTTTTTTGAGACAATGTCTTGCTCTGTCGCCCAGGCTAGAGTGCAGTGGTGCAATCTCGGCTCACTCTAACCTCCGCCTCCTTGGTTCAAGCGATTCTCCCGCCTCAGCTTCTTGAGAAGCTGGGACTACAGCCACTTGCCACCACGCCTGGCTAATTTTTGTATTTTTAGTAGAGACAGAGTTTCACCATGTTGGCCAGGGTGGTCTCTAACTCCTGACTTCAGGTGATCCACCCGCTTCACCCTCCCAAAGTGCTGGGATTACAGGCGTGAACCACGGTGCCTGGCCTAGTAAACACTTGTTCCAAAGAGAATGATAGTACTATGTTCAGCCAATAAAACTGCAGCATAATTAATACTTAGACCTAATTGAAATATCGCTAGCAGCAGATTTCTTGCAGGGAGGGCTCTGAGCAGTTTGGCAGATAGGTAAATGGGCCTATGTGGGCCTTTAAGGTAAGGGATATCACCCTTCACAGTAGGTAGCTCTTTTTTTTAAAAAGTCCTATTCCATAAAACCTGTTGAGTAGAAGAAAATATGTGCAAACCATTTATCCACAAGGGACTATTATCTATAATATACAAGGAACTCAAACAACAGGAAAAAAAAAAACAAATAATCCCATTAAAAAGTGGGTAAAGGACACGAATAGACATTTTTCAAAAGAAGACATACAGATGGCCAGCAGATATATTAAAAATACTCAGCGTAATCATCAGAGAAATACATCTAACCCCAATCAGAATGGCTATTACTAAAAGCACAAAAAAATAACAGATGTTGGCAAGATACAGAGAAAAGGGAACTTTCATACACTGTTAGTCAGAATGTAAACTAGTACAGCCAGAATGGAGATTTCTCAAAAAACTAAAAACAGAATTATCATTTGATCCAGGAGTCACATTGTTGGGTTTCTACCCAAAGGAAGAAAAGTTAATATGTCACAGGGATACCTGCATTCTAGTGTTCATTGCAGTGCTATTCACAGCAGCAAAGATGTAGAATCAACCTACATGTCCATCAATGGATAAAGAAAATGTGGTACATATACACAGGGGAATACCATTTAGCCATGAAAAAAATGAAATCATGTCATTTGCAGCAACTTGGATGGAACTGGAGGTCATTATCTTAACTGAGATACGGCAGGCACAAGAAGACAAATATGAATTGCTTGTTATCACTTACATGTGAGAGCTAGAAAATTTGTTGACATGGAAGTAGAGAGTGGAAAAGTAGATGAGAGAGACTGATAAGGATGACTGTGAGGGCAGGAGAGGAGGAAGAGAAGCGGGTGAGAAGTTACAGACATACAGTTAGAAGGAAGAAATGTAATGTTAGCAGAGTAGCATGACTACAGTTAAAAATGTATTGCGTTTGGGTGATGGACACCCTAAAACCCTGAGTTGATCATTCACTGCACATTATGAAACAAAATTTCACATGTACCTCCACAAATCTATACAAATAAAAATAAAATAAAATAATCCTCTCCTGGCTGGGCTCAGTGGCTCACACTTACAATCCCAACACTTTGGGAGGCCAAAGTAGGTGGATCACCTGAGGTCAGGAGTTTGAGACTAGCCTGGCTAACACAGTGAAACTTCACCTCTACTGAAAATACAAAATTAGCTGGGTATAGTGACACACGCCTGTAGTCCCAGCAACTTGGGAGGCTAAGGCAGGAGAATCGTTTAAACCCAGGAGACATAAGTTGCAGCGAGCTGAGATCGTGCCATTGCACTCCAGCCTGGGCAACAAGAGCAAAACTATTTCTTAAAAAAAAAAAAAAAAAAAAGTCCTCTCCCAATAGAGACAATACAGGGTTGTTGTTTAGTTTCCTACCAAAAAAAAAAAAAAAAAAAAAAAAATACTAATAAGTGGATATTGGATGATTTGGTTAATACTAGAATTCAAGTTGAGGGCTCCAGATTTTAACTTTTTGTGTGAATATTCTCCATGCGGTTTCTCTTGTTTTTAAGAACCACAGTCCCAGGTGCAGAGGTGCTGGCTATGGGTGGGAGTCCTGTAGATGTTGTCTGTACATACCTAGAAGGGTGGGTGCCTTTCCTGGTGTCAGTTCTGGTCTCTCCTCCACTGAGTACAGGAAATGAGCGGCCACACAACTCAGTGGTGGCTTATGTGCAGAAGTTGAAATCAGGAATGCACTTCCCAGAAAAGGCATGATGGGGGTAGCATGCTTGTAGTTACAGCTACTCAGGTGGCTTGAGGCCAGGAGTTCTCGGCTGTAGTGAGCTATGACGACACCTGTGAACAGCCACTGCACTCCATCCTGGACGATATTGCGCCTCTCTGTTAGGTCTTGCCCAGGCCACTGACACCTCCTCGACTTCCCTGTTTTTTCGAGTCCCCCTCTTGAATCTGCCTCAATCACCTGCACTTTCTTCATGCTGATTGTTAAGGCCAGAGAACAGTCTGTCATAGATACTCTTGTTTCCTTTAGAGCACTTCCCAGAAGAACAGTGATGTTACTGATAATTGGGCTCCCACAGAGGGGCTGTATTAACCCAAAAGTACCAGGGAGCTTAGCATCTCAGTACATCATAGCTCTATGGGAGAAAAATGCATTTGGGAGGCCAGGCTCTTATCTCCCTCCCTGAATTCACCACAGTGAGATGAGACCTTCCTTCCTCCCCCTTCATCATGTGGCTGCATGCAGCCTAGGCCAGGGCTCCAGCAGAGCAGGGGCCCCGAGAAAGCCATTCTGTAGGGCAAGGCCCTCAAATACTGCATGGGCCCAGTCTGCCACCCCCTCTCTCCCAAGAGCCCCAGTAATTGACCTGCGTTGTGCTCTTTCTTTAGCTGCCATGTAACCTCCAAAAAGAAGAGATTTGCCTACTATAAAAGCAGAACACTGAGATGGTCCCATATTCTGCCTTTTTTAAAAAGTATAGAAACATCCAACATGTACTTAAGCATTTACTGCAAGCCTAGTCTCCACTAAAAGTTTTGTTTAGATTCCCTCATTTAAACCACACCACAACTGTCTGGTAGAGCCACTGTTGTGAGAGTTTAATGACTCCACCAAGGTCTCACAACACTGGGAAGTAAATCCAGGCCGGCTGACCCCGAATGTGTATTCTTAACCCCTGCACCCTCTTGCCACTTCCCCGAAGGGAACACTGGGGGCATGTGAGACTTTTCTAAGGGTTTTATGCAGGTAGCATTGGAGAAGGCCAAGAAGGGATAATTTCCTTCTTTGGTGCCACTCTCTTCTCAATTCAGATCTTGAAGGGACAAGAAAGATAATCATAAACACTGTGGAGAGACAGTAAATATCAGCCACATTTTTGGAAGCGTTCTCAGCTTCAGGCATTGGGATTCTTCATCTCAGGAGGGAGGAACCTCCCAGAGCAAGGGAAGGGAATGAACCTTATAGCCTCGAATTTACCAGGGACAGTGCCAGTGCATCAATATTTAAGGCCCCTCACCATTTTACAGGAGGAGACTGAATCTCAGAGGATGAGATAATTTACACAGGGCCACCCAGCTAGCCTGAACACTTAGAGAACTGGTGACCAAGACCTATCAAGGGGAAGAGAGTGCCCAGCCGGGGTGTCAGGGGTAGGTCTGCAGCCAGCCCACAGCACTGTGATGCAGGACTAGGGGTTCACCTTCACGTGCATCTCATGCCTGATGGGGGCCCACTAAACCCAAAATGGAAGGAGTAGCATTTAAGATCTCAGACATCAGTTTTCGGTAAATATAGGGTGTTCTCTCTTTTCAGCAAAGGCATCTTTCAGGTGAGGCATGGTGGGAGCAGCATGCTTATAGTTACAGCTACTCAGGTGGCTTGAGGCCAGGAGTTCTAGGCTGCAGTGAGCTATTCAGCAATTCTTGTGATAGCAGTGACCAAGAATGTCTTCTTGTGGATATATTCCAGCACCTAGCATATAATAGATGCTGAATTAATATTTGCTAAGTGAATGAAAACTTTTGGAAGGAAGATAGTCAATAGCCAAAGAAGATCATTGACAGATACATTTGTACCAGCCAAAGAAATGCCATATATCATGCTCACTATAACCTTTGGTATTCAAGTCACTCAACATCATCAACATATAGCATCAAAAACCAGCAAGAACACCCCAAGAGGCCCGGCACAGTGGCTCCCACCTATAATCCCAGCACTTTGAAAAGGCAGGACGGACACATCACCTGAGGTCAGGAGTTCAAGACCAGCCTGGCCAACATGGTGAAACCCCATCTCTACTAAAAATACAAAAATTAGCCAGATGCAGTAGGGGTACCTGTAGTCCCAGCTACTCAGGAGGCCAAAGCCGAAGAATTTCTTGCATCTGAGAGGCTGAGGTTGCAGTGAGCCAAGGTCGTGCCACTGTACTCCAGTCTGGGTAACAAAAGGATCTGCGTCTCCAAAAAAAAAAAAGAAAGAAAACCCCAGGAATCAAAACCCATCGTGATTTCATGATTTAGCTTGCCAGAGCCAAGAAGAACACACCCAAAGAACCTTGGAAGTATCTGGTTAGGGAAAATCAGAACCATTTTATTGTTCTGGATCAATTTGAGGAAGGATTAGGAAGCAGTGGCCCCTTCTGGATTGGATGCTGCCAAAAAGCAGCTGGGTGAATTGTTCAGTCATCTTTATTGAAGGTGGGAGAAATTAAACGTAGCTAGGATGTTGTTGGTAGGAGAGTGGTCATTAAGGAGAGATTCATCGACCTTTCGCAGACGATGGCCTACAAGAAATAGTAGGATCTGCTGGCCTCTTCCATGGCTCCTGGAAGCATTGTGTGGAGGGAGGAATGGCGCCCTCTGCCTGTTCACCTTCAGATCAAATGTATTCATCCAGATGTGGCCTCTGTGATTTACATAATTGAAAACAGTCAGGGATTTTGATGTTTTTGTGTTGGGCTTTATGATGGTTTCATCAGAACCTCAGAGATATTTCACAACTTTGTATCTGTCTGTTTTCCTACAGAAATATTGCTGACACTGACGGTAGCCAGTTGCTTCTTCAGCTGACCGGGCTCACTTGCTCAAAACACTTCCAGTCTGGAGAGCCGTGTCTATTTGTTTCGACCCAACTGACCTGCCAGCCAGTTCTGCCAGAGCAGACAGGCCTGGGCCCTGGCTCCCAGGGTGGCTTCCACTCGGGTGTGACAGGAGGAGCTGCCTCTTCTCTTGACAGTCTGAAGCTCGCATCCAGACAGTCGCTCAGTCTGTTCACTGCATTCACCTTAGTGCAACTTAGATCTCTCCTGCAAAGTAAATGTTGACAGGCAAATTTCATACCCATGTCAGATTGAATGTATTTAAATGTATGTATTTAAGGAGAACCATGCTCTTGTTCCGTTCCTGTTTGGTTCCAGACACTGGTTTCTTGCTTTGTTTTCCCTGGCTAATCAGTCTAGTGCAAAGTAAGATTTTATCTGGGGGAAAGAAAAGAATTTTTAAAAAATTAAATTAAAGGTGTTTTAAGCTAAAGCCTGCATTTGGGATGGAAGCAGGACAGACGCCGTGGACAGCGCTGTATGTACAGACACACCCAGTGAGTGAAGACCAAGAAAGTCACAGTTGTATCTGTAGAAAGCTCTAAAGACCGTGTTGGAAAGAGTCTCCAGTAATGGAACAGTTGAAAAGGAGCCTGTGAGAGGGCTGTTGACATTAACAAATATTTTTTCCTTTTTTTTTCTTTGTTAAAACCAACTAGTTCACCTGAATCATAAATCAAGAAGAAATCATTTTCGTTTCTAAATTAAGTTCCCTTTAGTTTGATCAGACAGCTTGAATCAGCGTCTCTTCTTCCCTGTCAGCCCGACTCTTCCCTTCCCCTCTCTCCCTATCCTCCCCACTTTCATTCATTTTTAAAAAAATAATATAAGCTACAGAAACCAGGTAACCCCTTTATTTCCTTAAATGTTTTGCCAGCCACTTACCAGTTGCTAAGTATTGAATTTTCGAAATAAAATACATTTACTGGCAAGCAGAAGAGCAAAGTTAAGACTTGATACCAATCAAGCTAAGGATACCTGCTTTGGAAGCATGTTTATTCTGTTCCCCAGCAACTCTGGCCTCCAAAACGGGAGAAAACGCCAGTGTGTTTAAATTGACAGCAGATATCACGACAGATTTGACCTCTGCCATGTGTTTTTTATTTTGTTTTTTAGCAGTGCTAAGCTGAAGTTTTGTAAGGTACATAAAATCCAATTTATATGTAAACAAGCAATAATTTAAGTTGAGAACTTACGTGTTTTAATTGTATAATTTTTGTGAGGTATACATATTGTGGAATTGACTCAAAAATGAGGTACTTCAGTATTAAATTAGATATCTTCATAGCAATGTCTCCTAAAGGTGTTTTGTAAAGGATATCAATGCCTTGATTAGACCTAATTTGTAGATTTAAGACTTTTTATTTTCTAAACCTTGTGATTCTGCTCATAAGTCATTTATCTAATCTATATGATATGCAGCCGCTGTAGGAACCAATTCTTGATTTTTATATGTTTATATTCTTTCTTAACGAACCTTAGAAAGACTACACATTACTAAGCAGGCCACTTTTATGGTTGTTTTTCTTGCCCACTCTGGTAGGGAAATAATCTTTTATTAATGGATGTCAGTTTCAGACAACTGCAATACCAAGAAACTGATGACCTTTTTTGAGCTATTTCTCCTTAACCCCTAATACCTTTCTTACCTAAATTTCAGAATGATACCTTTTTGATGTCTAAAAAGCAAAGCATTTTATAATATCTCATTAGCCAGGCTTTTTAGGAACAGAGAAGTTTTTCCTTGAAATTTGATTGTTCATTTGTGGCAGGGTGAAAATTGTACAAACTACCCCTATTTATATTTATATCTCTCTCTATATGTACAGATTATGGAAATATAGAAAGAGATATAGCCCAAAGATAGATGGTAAGTAGACAGTCTGAAAGTGTTGCTCCATACTAAAGAAACTTTCTGGAAATTTGCATTTCGATACTTTTTTCCACTTGAGAGGGATCTCAATACAGGGAGGTGGCCAAGGAACAACACTTCTCAGTGGCCACCAGTTCATATATCCCCTCAAAAGGCTCTACTTTTCTCCACCAAACCATTGGGTTGCCCAACTGTGATGGAAAAAAACGAGCAGATGTTGGCCCAGAACTCCAGGACCTCCCCGTGGGCCGAGGCTCACGTGGCATACAATTTAGTGTGACCAGTTTCAGTGTTTAGAAATATGTGAATTAGAATGACTTTTAACTTCACACAGCACAAAAGAGAAATGGAGTTTAAACTGGATTTGTTTTGTTTTGAGTTTCAAGTCCCTTTTCACTACAACACCGTCCAAAGCTATCTACGTATCTCTTCTTTTGTATCCATCTGCCGCTGTATTTTAATGTCGATTCTAACTTAGACAAATCTGCAACCTCATGATACTGGTAATTTATAATAATTCATGATCATTGCTGTTTTGAAGGAAAAGAGATGATAAATTCTCTTATGGTTTCGATCAGGTAATGGATTTTGTTTTACATCTAATTGGAAGAAGAAAAGTAAGTGAAGGATTCCTCTGATCATATTGATCACTATAGAAGCAAAAGCCAAATCAGTTCCCTTTATTATCAGTATTTCTCATGCTGTACACAATAAATTTGTTAGACTGAGTACTTGGTTTTTGTTTAATAGAACAAATAATCAGTGTTTCACTTATATTACTAAATGTGAAAAACATAATGTGAAAAGTATACATACATTAACTTGGTTGTAAAACTCATTTAAGTGTTCATGTAATGTGGTAAGTTTAAAAAGTGAAGTGAGCTGTTTTACTACAATGAATTTATTTGACTCAAAGATTAAAATGCCCCTCCCCCATGTGTATCTCTTATGGCCTGTAATAATTGAAAGCAATGTTTTTGCAGTTTATATAATGCAATTTTTAATCTGTGTTCAAAAATGGAGTTCATATGGGCTTAACACATGAAATGGGTGGCACAGATCCACTTGCAGAACCCAAAGATACACAATCAATTTTGAAATGCAACTTAAGCCATTAATTGTTGGTGTGAATTTAAAATTTTCTAGTGTTTGTATGGTAGTATGCTGCCTAAGAGCAAAGCATTCTCTGCACAAAAGAAAATTACTGTAGTGGCTTCGATTTTAATTAGAATTTTCTCCCTGGTGTTTCTTTATAGACTAAAACAAAATCTTTTAAGTTTCTTACTACAGGTAAAAGCTATGTGCAAGAACCTCAAAATGCTAAAATCTAGCATAATGCCTTAGATCTGTTTTTAAGTCTTGTATATTCCTACATAGCTGTCCGATGTATTATATTTGTATAGTGAATTGTGTACAATTTTTGAATAAGTGCATCATCACTTAACCTTTATGTTGTTGAATAGTGATGATGATACATTTCTTCAAACATTTAACTGTCATTTTTTTCTCCTTTGTCATTTGTGAGTTTTATTTGTACAGTTCCTCATGAAGTTGCATCTGAGATGTGTGTATATGAAAAGATTATACAAGGGTAAAATTAAGCAATATATTAACTATGGTTCTTCAGGAGAAAGCTTACAGTGTTTCAGGTTGTGATTTATTTTCAAAATGGAGTTGACTCTGAACATCACTTTGTTCACCTGCATTGATGTTTGTATTTCTAGTGTGAGCAGTTTATGCAAAGGTAGATATATTCAGAGAAATTTTAAATACATTTATGCAAGTTAATATTGCTTTGCTGATGCTATTTGCTTATTTGATGTTAAATAATGCTATTGTAAATAAAGAATTCTGTTGTTATTGCATCATTTAATAAATTTTAATGCCTTCGGGTTTTACATGGCTTTAGAGATTTTCATGTGTTTATATTGTATCTTTCATAATTCCATTTATTAAATTAAAAAGACCCTGTAGTTTAATAATTTCTTACATGGTAGTTGACACTATTCACAGCACCTTAACATTTAATTCTCCCAGTAACCCATTTTATAAATTTTTACATTTGAAGTAAGGATTATCTAATAACTTAATGGCAAATATAAGCCACATATAGTTCCATCTCTTCACCATACTATTCCACCTTCCATTCCCAAACCTCCAAAAACGTAAGAGTAATGTGGACTTCTGAGGCTCAGGAAGGTTATAGCACACATGAGAATATCCATAATGGGCCAGACGCAGTGGATCATAAGGTCAGGGGTTCGAGGCCAGCTTGGCCAACATGGTGAAACCCTGTCTCTGCTAAAAATACAAAAAATTAGGGTGCACCTGTAGTCCCAGCTGCTCAGGAGCCTGAGGCAGAATTGCTTCAACCCAGAAGGTGGAGATTGCAGTGAGCCGAGATCATGCCACTGCACTCCAGCCTGGGCGACAGAGTGAGACTGTCTCAAAAAGAAATAAAAAGCCATAATGGTTTAATAGTTGATAAACAGTGCAAGTACAGTAGCTGAAACCTAGATCATAAACTAGATGAAACACTAGGAAATGCAACCTGGAATTGTATTTCCAAAAGATCCCCAAAAAATGATTAGAAAAATCTATCAATGCTACTATTTTAACAGGTTAAAGGAAGAAAAAAAGCACATGATTAACTTAATGGGTGCTGGCAAATGTTGGCTCTTACTCATTAAAAAAATAAAGCTAGGAGAAGTAAATGTTATAAATGTTACGTTATCTGATGGCATTCCCAATGAGACAGCTTGATGCTGAACTAAAAGTATTGAAGTCAAAACAAGGAGGCCCACTACCAATACTAAGAAATAAAGTACTAATATGAGAATAGAAGAAAACATGTGCAATGATTTGATCATCTATAGGGAAAACCAAAGGAGTCAATTACCCTGCTTTTGGAATGAAAGAAAAGTTCTGTAAGATGGCTAGACTCTATAAAAATCGATGCCATCTATCCACACTAATATTGAAATTGTATCTTTAAAGTATCCCTATTCACAATAACAAAACAATATAATGCTTATTAAGTGGAATTACACCTAACAGGAAGTGTCACAGGCCTTTGTGAAGAAACCTAAAGATTAACCAAAAGACGTAGAAGACTTTAAAAAATGGAGACATCCTATGAACCCACAAAGACCCAAATACAAGACCATTCATTCTTTCCCCAAATTCATGACAATCCCTTCAAAAGAAGTAAAATGGATTTGCACCGGGCACAGTGGCTCACTCCTGTAATCCCAGTACTTTGGGAGGCTGAGGTGGGTGGATCACCTGAGGTCAGGAGTTCAAGATCAGCCTGACCAACATGGCGAAAACCCATCTCTACTAAAAATACAAAATTAGCTGGGTACGGTGGCACATGCCTGTAATCCCAGCTACTCGGGAGGCTGAGGCAGGAGAATCGCTTGAACCCAGGAGTTGGAGGTTGCAGTAAGCCGAGATCACACCACTGCACTCCATCCTAAGCAATAGAGCGAGACTGTCTCAGGGAAAAAAAAAAAAAAAAGTAGATCTATGAGGTCAAAGATGCGAACTATGCAGTAACAAATATTTAATGAAATAAAGACAAAATTCTCCAAATTTGATGAATGATATACACCCACAGATCCAAGAAGCTCACAAGCCTCAAGTAGTATAAAACACGTGCACCACCCATATTCATTTACTCACAGTCACATCAACATACACCAAGACACACCACAATCAAATGGATGAATACCAGTGATGAAAACGGAAACCATGAAATCAGCCAGAGAAAGACAATGCATTCCATACAGGTGAACAGCATAAGAATAACTCCAATCTTCTTTTAATTTTTATTTCTTAGAGATGGAGTCTCGCTATGGTGCCCAGGTTGGTCTTGAACTCCTGGCCTTAAGCAATCCTCCCACCTCAGCCTCCCAAGTAGCTGAGATTACAGTTATGTACTACCATGCCCAGCTGATGCAATCCTCCAGTCAAAAACTACACAAGCCAAGGCTGGGCACTGTGGCTTATGCCTCTAATCCCAGCACTTTGGGAAGCTGAAGTGGGAGGATCGCTTGAGGGCAGGAATTCAAGATCAACCTGAACAATACAGCAAGACCCTGTCTCTACCAAAACAACAAAATAATATTAAAAAACTACACAAGTCATAAGAAAAGACACATGACTGGACAATGAAATATGACTAAAACTCTTAACATTTCGGTCAATGAAATCAATTCGAGGAGGAATACGAGTTCTGGTACTTGTCTGGACACCTAGTAAAACCAAAATGTAGTAAAATGAAAACATACAGAATGATTCTGAATATCTTGGAAGGAAACCCCAGAGATAATAACGGAGCACTATTTCTCCCTCTCCCTCTCCTCCATATTTCAATGACTACAAATGAAGCACTCTTTAAGTCCCAGTTCACCAATATTCTTAAGACAAAGAGGACAATATTACACAAAAAAGCACAGACATAGAAAACTCCAAGTCAAACAGTGATTCATTAGCACTGAACTCAGAGTGTGAGTTTTAGGAACACCTTAACCAAATTATTTCTCTCTTATTTTCTTTTTCACAGGAGTGATATATGATTAAAATTAATGTCTAGCAAGTCTAAAATAGCTCTTCAATAAATATAAAAAGTTAAATTCTAAGTGATAAGATGAGGTTGTCATGGTTAAATTGGCAGCATTTTTTTTCATTATTACAGGTTATAAAAGTTCATCTTTTGGCCTGGTGTGGTGGCTCATGCTTGTAATACCAACACTTTGGGAGGCTGAAGCGGGCAAATCACCTGAGATGAGGAGTTCGAGACCAGCCTGGCCAACATGGTGAAACCCTGTTTCTACTGAAAATAAAAAATTAGCCAAGCGTGGTGGCAGGTGCTTGTAATCACAGCTACTTGAGAGGCTGAGGCAGGAGAATCACTTGAACCCAGGAGGCAGAGGTTGCAGTGAGCTGAGACTGCACCATTGTACTCCAGCCTAGGCAACAAGAGCAAAATTCCATCTCAAAAAAAAGTTCATCTTTCAACAACTGTAGGCATTAGGATTCTTTTTTTATTTTTATTATTTTTTTTGAGACAGGGTCTCACTCTCTTGCCCAGGCTGGAGTATAGCGGCATGATTACAGCACTCTGCAGCCTCAACCTACCTTAGTAGCTGGGTCTATAGGTATGCACCACCACCTAATTTTTGTATTTTTTGTAGAGATGGAGTTTCACCCATCATGTTGCCCAGGCTGGTCTTAAACTCCTGGTCTCAAATGATCTGCCCACCTCAGCCTCCCAAGGTGCTGAGATTACAGGCATGAGCCACTGTGCCCAGCCTTAGATTCAATTAAATAAGAATTTTTAACACTGTTCAAGGAAAAAGTCAGCATACTAAGACATGAAATAAAAATACCTTACTAGGCCGGGCGCGGTGGCTCAAGCCTGTAATCCCAACACTTTGGGAGGCCGAGGCGGGTGGATCACGAGGTCAAGAGATCGAGACCATCCTGGTCAACATGGTGAAACCCCATCTCTACTAAAAATACAAAAAATTAGCTGGGCATGGTGGTGCGTGCCTGTAGTCCCAGCTACTCAGGAGGCTGAGGCAGGAGAATTGCCTGAACCCAGGAGGCAGAGGTTGCGGTGAGCCGAGATCACGCCATTGCACTCCAGCCTGGGTAACATGAGTGATACTCCGTCTCAAAAAAAATAAATAAATAAATACCTTACTAGTTGAGGAAGAGAATTAAAGAACCTACTGGGGGTGGGTGCGGTGGCTCATGCCTATAATTCCAACACTTTGGGGGGCCGAGGCCTGTGGATCACTTGAGGTCAGGCGTTCTAGACCAGCCTGGCCAACATGGTGAAACCCCATCTCTACTAAAAATACAAAACAATTAACTGGGCGTGGTGGCATGCCTGTAATCGCAGCTACTTGGGGAGGCTGAGGCAAGTGAATCACTTGAATCTGGGAGACGGAGGGTGCACTGCACTCCCGCCTGGAGGATAGAGTGAGACTCCGTCTCAATAAAATAAAATGAAGAAGAACCCACTGGGCTCATAAGAAGTAGGTGAAAGGGGCCAGGCGCGGTGCTTCATGCCTGTAATCCTACATTTTGGAAGGCTGAGGCAGATGGGTCACGTGAGGCCAGGAATTTGAGAACAGCCCAGACAACATGGTGAAACCTGGTCTCTACCAAAAACACACATAAAAAAATACCCAGTCTCGGCTGGGTGTGGTGGCTTATGTCTGTAATGCCAGCACTTTGGAAGGCCAAGGCGGGCGGATCACTAGGTCAGGAGATTGAAACCATCCTGGCTAACATGGTGAAACCCCGTCTCAAAAAAAAAATTAGCCAGTCTCATAACCCAGTCTCAAAAATACATAAAATAAGTAGAGATAGGTCTCCCCATGTTGCCCCGTAAATAAATAAAATACATAGTTCAGGCTGGTCTGGTCTTAAACTCCTGGGATCAAATGATTCTCCTGCTTTAGCCTCCCAAAGTGCTAGGATTACAGGCATGAGCCACCACACCTAGCCAAGACGATGTCTGTTCAAAAAAAAAAAAAGATTTTAAATTAAGTAGGCATGGTGGCTCACACCTGTGGTCTCAGCACTTTGGGAGGCTGAAGTGGGAGGACTGCTTGAGCCCAGGAGTTCTAGGCTGCAGTGAGGTATGATGCCACTGCACTCCAGCCTGGGTGACAGAATGAGAACATCTTCAAAACACAAAAGAAAAAAAAAAAACAGGCCGGGTGCGGTGGCTCAAGCCTGTAATCCCAGCACTTTGGGAGGCTGAGGCGGGCGGATCACAAGGTCAAGAGATCAAGACCATCCTGGTCAACATGGTGAAACCCCGTCTCTACTAAAACTACAAAAAATTAGCTGGGCATGGTGGCGCGTGCCTGTAATCCCAGCTACT